AGGATTGAACACAGGTTCTTTTTGTATATTTGAAGAATATAAAATGATATGTGTAAAACCACCCAGAGAGCAGGGGGCTGTGACACTGACACAAGTTCTAAGTGAGCGGCCGGCAGAGCAGCCTTTTTGCTCCTGAGTGACAGCTCACATCCAAATTGTGTAGTGATATGTAATGCTAAATGAACCGGATAAACATGTCTTTAAATGAGCGGACAGCCTTACCCCCCCCCAATCCCAGCCAGCCCCCACACATCCACCCCCACACACCGCCGCCAGCCCTCCATGGACTCATGCTGTTCAGGGCCCCAAGACCCTCGGAACAGAGCCCGGCTAATGGAAAGCTTTCAAGGCGGCCAGAGAAAAATGTCGGCTCTCATTTGGCCTCCACCATTTTCTGATGTCACTGGTGTGTGTGTGGTCACAGCTTTAGAATCACACACACGCACAAACACCTCAGGACACGCCATTATAAACAGGAAAACTGAAAACAACAACACTGTCCACCCCACACAGACACCTGCATGTGCTTGCATGAATGTGTCACGTAAAGAAAATGCTTTATACAACATGTCAAAACAGACAATGAACAATGAAATACAAAAGAAAACAGGAAGAAATAGACAGTACAAGCCTAGAAACCAGTGGACTGGATAAAATAGGTAAACTAAAAGGAATTTATTAAATTCAGGCTATACTATAAAAGTATGATTTGAGAAATGATTTTAAAAAAGGTTGTGTATAGTTCAAAGGTGTAGCTAGTTGCCTGGCCATGCAATGCTTTAGAGGCCTAGTGTGTAACATTTACAAGGATCTGTTGACAGAAATTGAATATAACCTTAAAAGGAATGTTTTCATTTCTGTATAATCACCTGAAAATAAGAATCGTTTTATCTACAGATGCCACGGGTTGCCTTCCATGTTGAACTGCCATGATTCATTTCGGGGCAACCTTAGTTTGTGAAGTGTGAGGGGTTTGCGATCTGCAACTACTCAAAAGCTGAGCAATCAAATTTTTAAAATCATTTCTAAAATGAACAGGCAGTGGCAGCCAGTGTAGAGAAGCTGAAACTGGTGTAATATAATTCCATCTCTGAGTTCCAGATAAAAGCTGCGCATTTGGTACAATCTGTAGCCTGTCTAAAGCTTTTGGTTTTAGGCAGGTGATCCATCCAAGATGAGAAAAATGAAGGGGTGTGTGTGTGTGTGTGTGTGTGTGTGTGTGTGTGTGTGTGTGTGTGTGCGCGTGCGTGTGTGTGTGTGTTTCACTAAATTTAAAACCAAGTGTAGGTTGAATCTTTGCTTTGTTGGTAAATTAATAAAAAGATTGAACTATTCTAGTCAGTGGGCTTTATTGGAAGGTGTCATCAGCATAAAAATGAAATGAGAAGTTAAATAATACCCATAGCATCCTATAGTATTGAAACTAAAACAAAAGAAACCATTGAAATAAATTGCTTTATGTGTAAAAAATCTCTAAAACAATATAAAAGTGATAAGCAAACCTTGTCCTTGTCCCATGCCACACTGTAAAAGTATATATATATATATATATATATGGTGTGTAAAAAAGGGACCGGGGGAAGTGTGGCACTCCAGGAGGAAGCTTGTTAGCCCGGAGAGGCCGGCTCTGCTCTCCCCACACGTGTTGGGCCTGTCAGCTGCCTCACTGATGTCTCTTGTTATTATTTTCCTCTCATTCTACTGCCTTTTCTTTGCCGAGTCATGAATAATTTGTGTCTACGCCTTGTTGCTCGATGACAGCTGTGCAGTTGGTTTTGCAGTCTGTTTTTCAGATCAGGTGAATAATGAATAAGCCTCTGCAACAAAAGAGCTACGTCCTATATGAGCCCTGCTTCTCTTCGCCTGTCCCGGCTTAGCTGGCGTGTCAACCACCGGGGAGGGGACAGGTGAGCAGGAAAAGTCTCTCTGATGCAGAAAGTTTCCTACATGAATGCAGAATGTATGAAAACGGTTTTATTTGGATCTTCCAGGAAGTTTTCCCCATCTTTTCCTGCATCCAAGCATATTAATCAGTGCTTTTTCTCAGAATCCTACCGTTAGAAATCCACTATCTCTCTCAGGTAATCTCGCTTTGCAACCCGTCAGACCTGTGTGAAATCTGCTGAACGAAGCGTGAGAGCAAATACCACATTATTATTACAATATACACAGTAGGTCTGCTCACCCTCAGGCCAATAATCACATTTGTTCTCTCTCCACAGTGTCCTCACTACCCTCTCTCTCGTGAGGAGATCAACACATTAATATGATCATTCACCAGATGTTGCTGATTCTAGATATTGACGCTCAGCTTGCGTGGGTGTGATGTTGATCTCTCTTTTTTTTATCTGTGAGGTATTGCATGCAATATTTTAATCAGAGGATTTCCTTTAGTGCGTTGAGCTATCACAGCGGTAGATCAGGAGACGGTTTCAAAAATTGTTGCGGCTTGTTGGCCTACAGTTTTTAAGTCCCATTTCAAGAGTTTGGTTTTGGTACATGAGAAAAACTATATTTGTAGGTATTTGTAGACTCTTTCAATCCAATTCCATCTGACAATAAAACCTACAATAGATATTCTAACTCAAGTCCAGATTGGAAATTCAAAATCAAAATGAAACACCAAAGAGTGTCTCTAAACTCTCTCTTTTATTATTCATATGTAATTTTAGATTAATAATGAATCATCCAAAACCACAAAACCCAGACACTGAACTTTCTAATTGCACAAATATGTCTGTCAAGAAAAATCAACCCTGTCCATACCTCTCGGGTGGATGCATGTGTGTTTGTGTGCACAGATGTGTGCGTTTTGCACTTACCATGACGCAGGCCTAGATTTGAGCCCTGGACTGCAATGCTCTGATTACTCGCTCACTCGAATCGATTGAGCCATATTCTATTCATATTTGATATGCCTCGGGGCAGTGGGGTAATGCTTTAAAAAAAAAAAACGACCCATGCCCTTGGAGGAAATCTGGTCAGCCTAATGGTTCGTTTGAAGATTTTTCATCAGAGAAGCTTCTCTGAGATTGTTCTCTCAGAGCAAACCATGCAACACCTTATTAGGTCATCATCGGTCGCATACCATTTGGTTTCAGAATAAACCATTGTTCAGGGGCTTCAAAAAAAGTTACAGGAGCTTTGTGTCAAACGCTTAGTTGCAGTCTACCTGTTATGCGCAACAGTGAGACTTAAACACCTAAAATCGGGCCGATGGCTTGGGGCTGCCTCAGAGTGTTGAAGGCACTTAATGGCAAACTCAGCTTCATTCCAACAGGAGGAAACTCCCCTGTGAGCAGATTCAACATCACTGAGTCTAAACAGAGAGTTTGCCCTTTTCAGATCTCTGCGACGCTCTGTAATTTCCTGTACAAGCTGCACATTTCCTGTTAAGTGAGCCACTCTCTTTTAAATGGCACTTTTAACGCATATTTTTAAAACTAAATTTCAAATTGGAAATGTGAGGTTGGTGCACATGATGTTTATATATATTTCAAGAGAATAAATGTCCAATGCAGCACCGAGGTGCAATGCTCTGTTAAGTTGTGCTCTAAATGAGCTCGCCTTTTCCTGTTCTCCTTCCGTCTGCTCATCTTGGGGTTTAAAATATTCAGTACTTTCGCAGGCCTGGATGTTGTACGATTTTGGGGGAAGTGAGGCAGAGAAAATCCTTGTGAGTCAGTGATTTCAATCAATGTTGAGGGAAGACGACTAACTGATTGTTCCTCTTTTTTTCCCCCTTTGCCTTGTTCGAGTCAGAGAAAATGAGATGATGAATCAAATGATGGCAGTAATTATTGAGACAGCTGCAGTGAAGGAGGGTTTTCTATACAGAGTATGGCTTGAGTCTAAAGCATCCATACAAAGTACCAAAGTGATGCAGGTTAAGTGAGAATGATGGTGAAACACTATTCATTCATTTGGTTTCTGATGCGGTTCATACAAATATACCAATATTGATGATAATTCTGATATTGATGACGATATCATATAAATAATCCAGCGCCTCTTACTTTCCGTTTCTTTCTGCCCACGCTTTGTGGTTCACACGCCAACATAGTAGGCAACAGTAATGCACCTTGAAGCTGGGTCCCAGCTGACTGTAGTTAATTTGCCAAAGAGACAAAACGCACAATAAAAGTTAAAGATGAATTCATTTTTTTCAAATTTTAGATGTTGCAATAATATTGTTGAATTGAATATTATTGAATGCTTTTTGGCCTAGAATATCGTGGAGTGCAAATCTGATATTGTGGCAGCTTAGTTTATACCTTCTGATGGTGACTGAATTGAAGTACCACCATACTTAATGTCCATATTCTACCACTTTCTTTAATTTGTTGAAATTTGATCCACTTTATTGTCAATATTTTAATAGGATTTATCATTGTCTGATTTTAAACTCTACACCCTCATGTCCTGTAATCCACCAGAGACCTCAGATTCAAGCCCTTTCACAACATAATCATAATAAAACTCAACACCAAGCCCTCAGAGGATCACAGCTGCTGCATGTGCTGCCTTCTCTGCCAGCTTCCTGTTAAACTCAAAAAAACAGCCATGAGGGTAAAAAACATTTGGTTAACGGTTAAATCTGCTCAGACTGTTTAAGGTTCAAACACATGGCTGCAGTGGTCAAAACAAACAGCAGCCGCGGGGGCCTCTGGGCAATCACAATCACGGCAGCAAGAAGTCCCAGCCCTTTGTTTTTGTGTCGGCCTCTGGCTTTAATTAACCTAAACAAATATCTTATTGTCGTATTGTGTTGATTTGTTGGTGGAAGATTATAATAAAGCAGTTTAATCGAAGGGTAACAATAAAATAGCGCGTAATAAATGACACTTGACGGCCTGTGGGCTACAGAGGCTGCAAGGTGTCAAAAAAAGCCCAATTATGGCGGTGAGTTAAATGACCAGTAAGTTGACTCGTTTTATTCAGTCTCAGGAGATTTCCCCGCATCCCTCATTTGGAAAAGAAATCACCTTAGATCATTTCACTTTTAGATTTTATTGCATTTTTATTTTTATTTTATTTAAATGATAACCACCCAGAAAATAAAAAAAAAACCTGGAGGGAAAAAAAAGATATTTTAAAAAAGTTCATTCTGACAATAAAATGTGCAAAATGGAAAAGTGGAAGATAACAGCTTGGTGAGTGAGGCAGCAACCCTCCTGTTTAAATCACACAGAGAGAGGAGGCTGTTTTGCCAGCATGTCTCCGAACTGAAAACAAAATGCTTCTGTTCTTTGGGAAAGCGCAGATTTTCATCTCTGTCCGCTTTTATTGTCGATCCGGTTATTTGACTGAGTACAAATATTTGGGGTTTAAAACCACTTGAGCTGCTTTATATCACGTGACAAGTTGATTTTATTTTTTTTTTTATTATTTTTTTTTATCATGCTCCGTCACATCATGTCTCACAGTTCACAGCTTATCTCTGGTTCTCTGGGCCTGTAGAACAATCTGCAGGAGGGTGGTAAAATATTTAGTGTTGCCGATGTCTTCTAGCTGCAAAATGTCCGTCTTATTATTAAGTCTTTCTTTAGTAAAAATAAATAATCTGAGATAACTATATATATTTCAAATACACCTTCACATAAAGTCTTTACAGAGCTAAAAGTGGATCAATCTTGAGCCATGAAATGTCCTCAAACTGAGCGATTGGGGGGAAAAACGCAAATGTCTTCTGTCTAGAATGTCTCTGTCAGATGTCCTCACTCGTTTCGGGACTAATAATTTAAAGACTGTAAAGTCATAATACATGACATGATTGTTGCGGTGGATTTCGCCTTCACTTGAGTCCGTGCTGCGTCTCTTTGTGCCGCCTCAGGTCCACTTTTCTCTGGAAGCCTTTGCCGCACAGGTCGCATCCGAAGGGCTTGTATCCGGTGTGTTTCCTGCTGTGTGTGATGAGGTTGGAGCTCTGGCTGAAGGCTTTCCCACACACCTGGCATTTGTGTGGCTTCTCACCTGGAGAAACCAAAACACACATTTAGGAACATTTTAGTTTCTCTTGAACTATTCTTATTTTCTACGCCTTGAAGATTCCGGACTTTTGCGCACAAATTACGCACAGATTCTCAGGAACAGCAGACGTTCCAGGAACAATTCTGTGTTGAGATACAATCTGCCCTTTTTCTCCACTTGCCTGTGTGGATGAAAGTGTGTTTCTTCATGTCTGACTTCTGGTGGAACCTCTTCCCGCAGTACTGGCACGGGTACGGCCGGGTGTCGGAGTGGATGAGCAGGTGCGTCGACAGAGTGGACGACCTCTTGAAACTTTTACCGCATATTTTGCAGTCGAAACTTCTTTCCTGAAACGTGAGCAGAAGGCGGGTTTAGTCGCGACACTTCACAACGACAGAAAAGCGGCCGGACAACAAGAAGCAGATACAGAAGAGGTGTGAACTGCAGGATGTGGTTTTTAAAACGCCTGGCAAGTCACCTGAGAGTGCACAGCTTTGTGTTGTTCCAGGCTCACTCCGTGTCCGAACGTTTTGCCGCAGATTTCGCACGCAAATGGTCGGGTGCCGCTGTGCGACCTGCGGACGTGGACTTCCAAACCGTGCGGAGTAGAAAACACCTGGTGGAGAGAGGAAAGAAAAGAATTAAGCTTTTGCTTGAAAAACATATATTTTTGGTGAAGAAATAGTTCATTCCAGTTCGGGAATAAAATAAAGAGGTCAGAGGTCAAGCACAGAGCCATTTCAGCACTGTGTGTTCTCCTAAAGTCACATTTGGATTATTTGATTCACAGGCTGCAAACATTTTTTAGTGTTCTTTTATTTTCAGTGACCACCACCTGCAGGTCAGAGGCTGTGTAACCCATCATGCATTTATAGGATGCCCCTCCATCCTCACCTTGCTGCACTTTACACACTTGTAAGCACCATTGAGGATCAGACTGGAGCACAGCAGGTCAGACTGGGCCTTCACATTGTGGGTTTTTCTGTGCAGGCCTCCTTCAGGGAACAGCAGAGCAGCAGCGTGCTGCCTGTAGTCCCCGAAAGCCTCCTGGCCCAGAGCCCGGTCTGCGTACAGGGCAGAGTGGGCGCTCCTGTCCCCGTAGAAGGCCATCGCCGCCGGGCCCCTGTCTACCTCCACGCTCTGCTGCACCAAGGGCCTCAGCCCGGGCCCGTAGCTGCTCCAGGCATATGGCCGGAAGGGAACGGTGAAGGGCTGGGTCTCGTCCACCAAAGTGGACAGGGACTTCTCAGAATCTACTGGAGAGGGGAACAAACAGAGGCCGGATGAAATTTTAATGAGACCTGTGACATGGTTGAAGCGAGGTGTTTTCTGAGGCCCCACAGGGCCTGACAGGAGTCATGCAATGTTCTTTTAGTAGTTACTGTTGGGGAAACCAGGAATATACTATAATAAATAAAAAATAAAAAGTGTTGGAATAAAGTTCTTTGAAGGCCCAGCACATTTAAACTGCCGAGACAAAAAGTAGCTTAAATGTTTAGTTGTGAAAGGATACAATGTGACAGCATTCTTACCAATAAAAAGCACATGAAACATGTAAAGTCTTTATAGAGCGGTCTACTGCAAAGGCCGCTTATATTTTTAAGTTACACACATGAGATCATCGCAAATAATTCAGGAAGTAGCCTATTATACTGCTATAGTTTCCAAAATGTGTCTGCGGTGTTTCCTGTTAATAGCGAGTTTATCACCTTATCTGTGTTTTTTTTTTTTCCTCCTTAACGTCTCATAGTTGCTTGATCATTAAGCAGTGTGTCTGTCTGTGTGTTTACCCGGTGATGCAGAGGGGGACGGAGGCCTCCAGAAGTCCTCGTAGTCCGTGGAGCGACCGCACAGACTGTCGGTGCAGCTCAGCGGGGACTTCGGGGAGAAATCGGCGGCGTCAGCCAGGTGTGAGTCCGGAGAGAGGCCGTACCTGTCCACCGACAGCTCGGTGTCTTCTGGGAGCTTATCAGCGTCTGAGTGGACACACGGAGGACAGTCAGCATCTCAGCGAAGAGGAGGTAAGAAAAGCCTAGTGTTGATTTTAAACGAATACCACTGCACAAATATGTAACTGCTATAATTATAATGAAGGTGTGGCACTTATATTATGGCTCTGGGAGAAATGTCCAAATATAACAGTATTATTAGGTGTGTAAAATCACAAACGGGTAAGGTCAGCATAATCTGACTTCTAGCAATAATACAATATAATAAAAACAATAAATAATAATAAAAAATGCGTCTCTATTAATATATATATATATATATATATATATATTTCGTTAGTGTGAAACCTCTACCGTAAACATCAGAAATTGCACTTTCATTTTTGTTTCGGCATTTTTATAAAATTATATATAATTAAAGGCCCATTTTAATAAACTGCACTGGCGCATTTGCAGCCATTTAAACTGTAAAATCAGATCAGTGAGAGTTGTTTGCATGCACTGTCCCGTTGTTTCATAACGGATTATACCTTTAACAATAATAATTCTCCTGTAAAATCAAAAATGTTTTAGTTTAAATATATATATATATTTACAAACGGAATAATTTTGCACAAACCTGAGCATATGCGCTCCAGTATAGCGTCCAGCCTGCTGTAGTCATCCTCCAAACTGCGGGGCTGGTGGTAGCTGTGCGCCTTCTTGCTCTTCACCATGAAGGAGCGAGGCATCTCTGATCTGAGAGCAGACACAGGGGATGGTGATGATGATGATGATGATGATGATGATGATGATAATCCGGCTGTAGAGAGGCGTCCTCGTCTCGCTCTGAACCCTGCAAAGATTTGATCTGCACTGGTGGCGGCGAGATGCGGTTCCAAGTGCTTTAAGAGATTTCAACCTGACGACGGAGCATGCGCACAGCGTCCCGTCCCGCCTGCCAGGTGTTGTGTGCGGACAGGTGTCACTGCAGCGGCTCCTGCGCTCACTGCACTGCAAAAAAAGAGCCGCCTGCGGTGTATTAGTATTAGTCAGCTGCCAGTGTGGTTGCAGGTAGCTGGAAAAGAGTCTGCAGCGGGGGCGACTTCTTCTCACACATCTCAGCTAATGACGAAGTGCTTAGCTTTTGGAAACACCCGTGGAATTATTAGGAGTTATTTTCATTTATTTTTTTTATCTTATTTAAAAAAAATAGAAAAAAACATAAATCCGGACTTTTTTTTGCAGTGTTGCGGCCCACCGCCCGGAGCTGCTGCCGCCCCCCCACCCCACCCAACCCCCCCCAGATCAGGCTGCAGATCGTGTCTCCAGGAGCCCGTGGCAATCAGGAGAAGTGATACAGGCCCTTTATCAGCTCCTTACTCAATCTGACAGGGGGAGAGGAAACGCGGAGGCGCACCCCAGGGTGTCAGTTGCTCAGAGCCTGTATGTATACATGCAATGGTAAAATAAAAGGGTGGGGGAAAGTCTGAACCGACAGTAGCACCTCATGCTTAATATAGATTCACTTAGAAATGTAGTTTCAACATTATAGCCAGCACATCCCCGCAGTGTGTTTGCTCGGATTCTTCCTAAAAAATACAAAGGAATAAAATAAGATTGAACTATAATAATATAGTTAATAACTCCGTATAAATCCTGACTGAGTTCAATTCAGAGTTTGTCGGGGCTCCGTCCCGGTGTGCTGCTCAGCTGGGCCTCAGACTGTTATTATGTGACAGACACTCTCCGTCCTCGAGCCCGCGGTGGCAGTTTCACGTTACCCTGGGTATTATGCTCAGAAGAAAGACGCCCATAACAGAGACAATTTGTTTTCTGTTCGCCCAGGACGCAGATTGTAGCGCCGGTTAAGCGTCATTACGCACCGAACAATAGGACAGGAGTCGTGCGTCCTTGTGCCTTTTATCCGCTGCAGGTGCAATGAACGAATCCCCCAAAAACCATTAGAGTGATAGTGATAGAGAAAGAGGAACTCTGATTATCATAAGGAAAAAAAACACCATTAATGTTTGATTGGAACTGAGTGTTACTGAACGGAACTGTCTATGTTTAAGATTATTGTATTGTAGTTTTATCAAGAGTCAAAATGAAGATCATATTTTTAGGCCACAGAGCTGCATTTTATATGAACTTAACATCTTCTACACCCAAGTTTACTTATCACAATAAATCAACTCATGCCAATTCTTCCACAACTGTAAATATTTCAGTGTTGAAGACTTAGCGTGAGGACAATTTAAGTGTCAGGGCAGTCGGATACAGGCGAAACCAGCCTATCAGCACACTGAGGACAGGAAATCAAAGCGCCACATGCCCCGGCTCGATTAGACTCACAACGGCCGTAGCATCCGGACACCGTGTTGGTGAAGATATGAAGCCTGAACCGATAAAAAAACAGAATCAGCAGACAGGTCCTGCTGCCCGGAGCCAACCGATAGGCCCGGAGACAGGACGCTGCGTAACAGTTAGCAGCTGTCCCACCATTACAACAAAGAGTTAAACAAAACCCGAATAACAACAACAACAACAACAATAATAATAATAATAATAATAATAATAATAATAACAAAATAATAATAATAATAATAACAATGACAGAAGTGTTTTTATTACCTGTTGTTCTGCAGGTCCATGTGTGCTTAGTTTAGTCCACCGCATGGACATAAATTAATTTCATTATTGTTTCTGCATAATTTGGTCTTGCTCTCTATTGAAATTCCACCTTAAAAACGCCTCCACATCTGAGAACACCAAATGATTCATGCCTCCCACAATGGCACCACACTCTCAGATTTTAATGCGCTCTTACTATGCGGAACGTTTCAGGACACACGTACAATTTGGACAAATATAAGGTTAGTGAAAATGAAATCTACTCATTGAAAAAAACCTGTACTAATACAGGTATGTCGCGCTGGGGTCATATCTGTTCAAAGGAAGGGGGGTTTAGCTCCAACTCGGGTTATGTTAGTTGTAAATTCAGACTTACCGACTGAGGCCGAATGATAGAAATCGGATTTATATGGCATCCGAATGAGGCACGACTCTGTCTCACAGCTACAGCAATGAGCTGAGGTTGTCTTACAGGGTCCAGGGTCCAACCAGCCTGCCAACATCTGAATGAACTAAATGCACGTTCAAAATATCCGCAAACATCCTCAATCACTGCAAAATAAAATGAGTCTCAGCTCACAGTAGCCTGACCAGCACAGCCAGACTCTGCTAAATGTCTAATAAAAAACCCATCTTAAGCTGCATTCAACAACACAAACCTGGTTAATCTTTCAGTGCCCGAAGAGAAATGCTCTTTTTAAAATGTGGTTTTCTGCATGAAATGATTAGTAGTTGAGGCTCAGCTCTGAAACCGCGAGAAATCACTTCCTGAAAGCAGTCAATCTAAGCAAAGCATCTTCACAAGAGGAAGGCAATGTTGAGACCAAACATCCCACATGTGTTCACAGTCATCTCAACACATCTCAGTCTGCCCCGAAGAGGCTCAGGTTAGAGGTCTGCTGCCTACGTTAAGAAGACACGTCAGTCAAGGAGTGTATCAAACATTTTATTGTGAACTCATCACACACACACACCAATCTCACTTAGTCTCCAGAGTGTGCCGACTGCTCCATAGTGTTGCCATGTGTGTCCTTTACTGCACTGCAGACTCTGAAAGTGCCATAACGTGTTCCTCTCCCATACCACACAGGGTATCTTGTTCATCAAAGGGACATTATCAAAGTCAGAACCTTTTCTGTATCCTGGGCGTGACAGCGGCACTCACTTCCAGTCTTTCACTGAATACAGGCGTTAGTGTTCAATACAGACATTCAGAGAAATTCTTACACATCCAGGTCCTTGTGTGTGAAATGGAGTGGCCTGTGGATGAGCACAATATGGTGCTTACTTTGGTAACACTGGACAGCTCCTGATTCCTCTCCAGACTCTGTTATAAAGTGTACAATGTGGTGTTTGTTAGCTTTATCTCCCAGTTCAAAAGTTCCCTAGGACCGTCATCCATTTCCGTGCAAATTTGTGATACACAAAACATATGGTAGACATTACTCATGTTTGACTCATCAGCAAACGTGCGATATGTGCTGAACTGACTTACTGGAGGGGGGGTGAGGGGCCTCATTTTGAAAGTAAAGCCGCTATCCTTTCAGAGAATTCAGCACAATAACAACAGTAGTTGCGCTGATGAATCATGTTAACTTGTCTGAAAACAGTGAGCTGAAGTGTTTTAATGAGGAGAGAACAGTTTTTCTCTTCTCAGAAACAGGATCTGTTAACATATTAAACTAACTTATATGTCCCTTTTTTCTCAATTGTACAATATATTCTAAACATCAGATATGCAATAGATACATATTTTCAAGTTCAAAAGGAATTGAAAAAAATACATAATACACATTTACATATCTACAAGTATGCAGATGTCACATTGACCTTTAGTACACCAGCCCTGGTGAAAGGCATGCAGCATGTGCTAAGGCCAAAAAGTCACGTCAGCGCTGGTTAATAGCAGCCTCTGACCAAGTTCATCAAGACAATAGATATATATATATATACACACACACACACACACACACACAGCACTGGTACAGTTCTGCCTCTGCACAATGGACACTTAGTAGTAACGGCATCAATACAATTTTTGATGTTCATTTATAAAATGCTTTAAAAATATAAAAACACATTGGATGAAGAGTGTAATATAGCGCAAAAGGTTTTATTGCACAGTCTCTTTCTCTGTGTTGTACCTACAGCAGGGGGCCAGAGGAGTGACAGACACACCCACACCCCTCCTCTCTCCTACATCAACCCCCTACAGCCTCCTCCTCCTCCTCCTCCTCTGGTCATTGTGGCCCAGTAGAGTTTAATACGCTCCACTTTATTTAATTCTCTGCTTCTGCCAGTGGTGCTCAGACAGACGGGTGTTTGCTGCCCTCAGGAAGAAAACAAAAACTACAAACAATCTAGATCAACTAAATCTTTAAGTGTGATTCTCATGATATGAAATGATGGTGCGTTTCCTTTCGGAAATTCAGAACTCCAGATCCAGACTTCCCCTCTGAAGTGGCTGCTGGAAACACCTCCTCTTCCTCAGCAGGTGCTGACGGCCTCTGTCCCAACTCTGGCAGCCCAGCGGGTGCTGGTCACACGGTGGTGGACTTGTGGCTGCTGCTCTGAGGTACAGAGAGTCGCAGGGCATCCTCATCCTCCTCCTCGCTGTCGGTGTCCTGGAGGTTGGGGCGCAGTCTGATACGACCCCGGCTCCTATGCTGGGAGTCCTGGAGGGTGGGGTCCTTGACTCCATCTTCGTCTGAAGACTGGTAAGAGCCATCATCCCCCACATAGTGATTGACAATGTGGATCCCATCAAAAGTGGGCTGACTGGCCAAGCCCCTCTGTCCTTTTAAGCAGCAAATCTGTGAGAGAAAGCGGGATGAGTATTGGCAGCAACGCAAAGTATGTTCAGTCCTGCATGCAATAATGAGCCAAACAAATATATGTAACTCCCAAGGGTGAAAACAAAGACCAACAGATATAACACATGCTAACTGTTAAACACAATGGTCCAGTCTTTGGCAGTCAGTGATATTTAAACACTATCACTGGCACAAACACAATGAGTCCTTTCATAGATTAACATGCAGGCACCAATTCAACCAAAAGGGAACAATGTAATAAGGTATGAGCTGTGCCTGAATTCCATACTACATACAGATTTAATAGTGTACAGTTGTGCTTACTGTACACTTTTGCAGTGTGAATGAACTACACACTCTAAACTTTCTTAGAATCAGTATGTAGCATGGATTTGGGACCAAGCTATTGTATAATAAATATTATTATTAATTATATTCATGGGTGAGGCCTAGCTCCATTTGCTTGAGAGCCAGTTCTGAATGTGTCCTATTGAAAACTTGTGGAAAGTGGCTGTACTCTGCAGTTTGTCACAGGTGGGCAGTTAACCCAACATATATCTGCCAAACCAACCAGTTAGTCCTCATCCTCCAAGAGTTTTCTCTTATAAAACCTTATGAAGCATAAATCTCACCTTCATGTGGTTTGTTCAAGCAAGTTTTCAAGTACATCTATAACTACTTCGCCTCTTTCTATTCTCCCAAGCTGGAATAGCCTTACTGCCCCTTGTGGCTGTGGGGGGCAAAAACACACATTGCAAGTACTGTTGAACTGCAGTTGTGGTGGGTGGTTTTTTTCTTCCATTAGCCACAAAGGGGAGTAATGAGATAATTCAGCAACACTCAACTAACAAACTTTGACAAACCATACAAAAATGATATCTATAACTTCTCCTTAGTGTTTTCTAGCAGCATGTTTGGGTTTTACCAGTGAAAAGACTACAAGGATAAGGACTAACTGGTCGGTGTACATCAGGTTAACTTCCCCACCTCCAGCTCAGAGCAGCACACGTCGCTCTCTAAACATTTCTATGGAAGCATCCAGAACCGTCTCCCACGCTGTGAATTAAACAAACCCAAATGGGGCTAGGGTGGCGGGGTTACACGATGGTCAGGGATAAACCACGGGAGGTTACATTGTACATCTTTACCAACTCACCTGAGTCGGCCTGCCATGAAACAGACAGACATGTAGGAAGAGATGCATTCAGAGGCCAGTTGAGAGCACAATACACAGTAAACAAAATCATAATAGGCCTTCACCTTTCTAAACTGTCTACCTTCCTGTTTATGCCATGCAAAAGGGAAATTATGATGTAATCAACATCCGACTAGCAGTAGTCAGAATTTCCAGAAATATGACTGAAGTATAAGTGAGGAGGATGGTGGGACTTGTTACTGAGCCACTTGCTACTTTCAGGTTCGCTCACTGCAGACACACTCAACTCAGGATGACCACCACACGAAAACCAGGTGAGAGGGGAAATGGGTCTGTCACTGCATTGCCTTGATGTAGAGTGAGAAGAAGTTGATGCATGCAGCTCGACTGAACCACAATTCACCATCTCTTATTGGTCACGTTTTTGTGTTCTTCCTTGTTTTGATTCAGTAAAAGACACAGATATCAGGATATGATGTTCTTCCTGCAAATAACTGATGTGCTGGAAGACAACAAGGACCCCTATCTGCAGTTTTAAAAAAAACATCTCCACAAAAATGATAAAGTTCTTAATCTTTAATAAGTAGAAAGTCATCATTAGAGGACACGTGTTCAACCCATGACACTGGACCTTTTTGCATACTACATGCATCCAACAAAAGAATCCAGAGAGGACTAAACAAAGAATAAAAGTGAATGTCTACGGTAGAAAGATTATCCGACGTCAGTAAAATGTACCAATAATCACATTTTACTTGCTCTTTACGATTAAATCTTCATTCATAATGCTTAACCTTGAAATGTAAATCCATCTTTGTTACCTATCTGGGCTCTGCTTGGTAAAATCTTCTTGTAGAAACATCAGTAGGCTATGTCTGTGAAGGTATCTGCAAGAGGTGTAAACTCCACACAGGAAGTCTCTGGGTGTAGTTAACACTTGTACTAATCTGTTAGCCTCAAAGTAAAACCATATCTGAAAGAATGTTGTGAAATCTTCTGAAATGCTAGATCAAAGAAAAGGCAACAACAAAATCTGAACCTCTACAAGAAGAAAAAAAAAAAGCTGCAAATTAAGTCAATTTGAATACTAATGAACCTGACGCTTAGGTGGTTCACAATGCTCACCTCGTGTTTTAGCTCTCCTATCTGGTCTTTGAGGTCGCGGATGTACTGGCTCGAATCTGTGTGGTTCAGCTGGCCTTGGACCTTTCCTTCTTCTTTCTGTTGGTAAAAGAGAGCATAAAAATAAGCGACGGTACTCAGTGATACAGCTGGCTTTTCCTAAATACTGATATTTTGGCAGAGTGATTAAACTTATATATATATATATATATATATGCAAAAACCCATGAATACCCAGGGATATGAATGGTTGTGAACTACTGTACAGACAGGACAAACACTGGCAGGTACTAGAGCCCCACTGCTAAAAAAGCATCATCACAATGTGCCCTCCATGTGTGGCAGGAGACCAAAGTGACAGATGTCAGGGGAAACACAAAACGTTGTCATTTGTGCTTGATTTCCTCCTGGGGCCCTGGGGAAGAGGCTGGTTGTTAGCTTTAACAGTTAAACAGCCCATGTGATGTTTACATTCCTCACTGAAGACATCTGCACACAGTGGAGACAAAAACATACTCTATTTCAAACTTCAATCACACCCTTGAACCTGCCAGTTCTACAGTGAGACCAGTGCATGGCGCACAGAGGATTTCAAACCACAGGCTACAACACGAGACAAAAAAGGGAAGATGTGTACACAGCACACAGCAAGGGGTGGGGTGTCGAGGTAGAGAGGTGACACGAGTCACAAGTATAGATAGGTTTTCTGATTCCTGTGGTAAGGTGGGGTTGAATATGGCAGGTCCCAGTAGGGTTATTTTTCACACAAAGGAGTCTAAACAAGTGAGATTATTCCAAGAATCTGTTGTTTTTGAGGTTTCGTCGCTCCAAAACACTGCAACGATAATGGGCAGGCAGTTAATGGGACTTCCTCGTGTTCAGCTGCGTGAATCAACAGGTGTCAGGCTGTGGCCGGGGACGTCAAACGTCTCACAGAAACGTCTTCCTGACATTCCAGCACCCTAAAAGTCTGTTAAACTTTACTTCTAACAGCAGAGGAGTTAGAAGGAAAGGGGGAAAGGGGGGCAACTACCTCTAATGACAGAAAAGTTCAATTTGTTTACTGCACCAGCCGCAGTGAACTGAGCAGCTGATCTATTCTCGACCTTTGATCATCACAAACATCACATCACATATTGAGCTAGTGAGCAAAATCACAGCTCATAAAGACATTCCCCGCAAAATGCACTGGAATTTGCGTCATATGCATTCACAGTATTTTCATTCTGTCTGTGTTTCTTGATGTGGCAAGACGTACAGCTTATTTTGAATCTGCCAAGACGTCTACAAAAGGATGTGTGAAAATGTATGATTCATGTTACATTTTTATTATGATTAAACTTTTAGTGTATCAACTTAGCTACCTCTCACTGAAGAGCACATATGATTTGTATACATTTACTATTCCAAGTGCCAGGATGAGATTTTAAACTGTTGTCATTTGGCTGTTTTGAGCATATTTACATCTGTGAGATTAATAATAAAGATACATTTTCTCCAAACAGATCACACATGAAACTGGCTAAAAACATTTAGTATAAATCTCTGAGCATGTCATAGAAACCTCAAAATAAACCATGCATATCACCTTTGGTAGAGTCTCTGCTTCAAGATGAGAAACCACTTCCTATCAGCACAGAGACTGTGGAGCTGTGGCGTTAAACAGAGGCTATGACTGTGGTAGCGAAAGAGTCCTACACACACAATCCTTTCTAGACATCTTAGTTTCAGTGACAACGTTTGCCATCATTATTTTGCAGGTGTTATCGTTAATTTATATCTGTTCGTTCAATCACTGCGTTGTTACTATAAACGATAAAGGTACACGTCACCTTAATGTTCTGAGTGACTGACTCCTTGATATGTGCGTCTGCTGCGTCTTCCACACTCACTATTGAGACTCAGACAAAGCTAATCTGATCGTACGGTGACCTGTCACATCATAAAGCAAGCTGCAAACTGTCACCATCAACATGCGTCACACCATCTCTGACGAGCAAGGCAAGAAACTGATTTTCTTTTTTTTTTCTTTTTTTTTACATTTTCTTGTAATTGAAGCAGTTTTCACCCACAACTTATAGAGAGGGTAACCAAACCACAGACCAAGAAGCCAACACTGGCACAGTGATTTTGGCTCAGACACAAGTTCGATTTATTACCCTGCCTGCTCCTGAACACATTTTATAGACGCAAATCATACAATAAAAAGAAAAGGCTTCTGAATATTATTTACATACTCAAATGAGAGTTCATTACGCAGATTCTAAAAGGTATGAGGGCGGTAGTGGTGAATTTCTGGTGTTGCATGTTTTTGCTCCATCACTTAGTAACAAAACCTCAGACCACACTGTGTGATCATGTGTGCCTCTGAAGGGGAAAAGGGGGGAGGTTTTTTTGTAGGTGTCATACTTATAAATAGTCCAGGCTGTGAGCTTAGATTATCTGAAACACCTTAAGCTCAGGAATACATTTACAGCAGTACTTTAAATAGCATACTGGGCAAAAGTCACAACTGTTTCCAACAGACCTGTCTAAAACTCAAGTCAAAGTGGGCCAAAGCTTTTGGTTTAACGCTCAGCTGACACTGAACCATGATCTGCAACACTTTACTTCTCCTCTCTTTGTCTTTATACAGCAGCCTCCACTTATGAGTCCCCATAGGAGCAGTTATAGATGTTGACAAATACATTAATAAACATATATCTGCTTATATCTACATTATAGTGTTATAAAGTCAAACATTCCAACTGAATTACATAATATAAGCAATAAATACTATCCATGCTATATTAATCAGTTTTAGCAATAATGTTGATATTAATACTACAGATGTATAAAAGGATGTCTAGTATAGATATACCTGGCACCTTGAGATAATCGCCATCAGCCGATGCCTACTCTCACATGGCCGATAAACAAAAAGTGTCAGCAGACACATCTGCGGGCGGCGTTGTCAGTGTGGCTACTGATAGTGAAAAAGTTGTTGGCGTAAATTTCCTCAGTCACCACCATCTTTTCTAAATGTTAACACGTTTCTCCTACATTACAAATCTAAAACCGTTACTGGCTAGTGTTATATGTATACTACGTTAGAATAACAGTTGATTTCCTTCGCTTCTGACATACTGGAATCTACAGCATAAAGCAATGTGTTTTTATGTTTCATTATTAAAAATACCATCTAAAACAACAAGTTACTGCCTGAGATAACCATGTATATCAGATTGTAATGTGCATGGAATAATGGAATTATACATGACTTTTCTTTGTTTTCATTTCACGGCATTATACATGAGCCATCGGAAGCCTTGCTCTCTAAAAATTTTTTTTAATAGGCTTAATTTGTTTCATTAGATTTTCTTATTGCCCGAATGTAGCTGTTGTTGACAGATAACATGAGTAGCTCACAGGCACACAAAGTGACTGAAGCTGACGACTTACTTTTCACTGCAAAAAAGCCTCAGTGTGATCGGAATCAGAACTATAGAAGCGTAAACATAGCGGCCCGTCTGGCCGAGGCTGAGACATCCATCCAGTCCAGATGTGGTAGGACTTGAAAGGTGCTAATCACTGACTGTCAAGAAACTTTCCATTTTACAATAAAACACTGCAGTGTGTTAAGCCATACAATAAACGCACCTCTGCTACTTGCAGTACTGACTGGAAGGGAGGTACTATTAATACAATCACTGCTTCTGAGATTTATACTCATAAGTCGTCTATTTTTTAGAGATTTTGTTCCACATATGTGGGTTCAATGCCAAGTATGTGAGACACTTATTCATTTGTAACATATTACAGTCTATTGACTCATTTAAAAACACATCCAAAAAGGCATCATGTAAAAAGAAAAGATTTCTGACATATTTATAGGCCTCAAAAAAGGGAACCAAGCAGAAATCAATGACACGTCTCATGTCCAGCTTTTAGTGTAAAGTCAACCCAATTTACAACCAACCGTTTAAGAAGAACAGAAACCACAACAGACTTAAATCTTATGTATCGTCAGCCACATTATTATTCCATTGCAATTTAAAATGTATAGATTCACATTCATCCCCTATAGCCTGTTTACACACAATAACAGTATCTGTCGCCACACTCACTGTTCATAATGTACCTTGACTCATATGGAGAGTGTGGTGTTGAGCCCACAAACAAGCCTACACCTACTTATGATTGGCTTATAGATAATTTTATCTGTTATCAATCAGAATAGTGGAGTGCTGGCAGTGTGAGAACAGGCCTGTATTTGTTTTGGTCACCCTTGTTGTGTGTAGCGTTACATTTGTTTGGGGATAAATACTGGATTCTTCACTCGCACTTGTTGAGACTGGTTCATACAGGAACTACGTTTATATGCAAGTCTACGCAGCTTTGTTAAATGTCATTAATCAGTGAAGTTTTGGGCTCCGGCCACAGTTCTAAAAAAGTCTGCTTTTATCTTGAATTTGCATGAAATTTAAATAGAGACAAACTATTTCCAGTCCTGATATACAGTGAGCTGAAAAACAAGGCAAATTTTCTCAATCACAGCACATTTTAAATGCTTGCATAGAGATTTCAGGTTTGGAATATGTGTGGAATAATATGTAAATTCTGATTTAAGGTGGATTTGTGCCATTACAAAAGTTTAGATTAGTGAAATAAGACAACATAACTCTGTACTGTACTCTATACTCAGCAGAGTCCGAGTGACTGATTTCCTGTTCTCCTTCACAAGTCTAATTAGCTGCCTGTGCATTAAAGCACCTGAAAGCTTGCTTTCAAATATTAGCTGTTCCTCTGCATATACATAATCGAAATATTCTTCACAAAGTCAAAATTAGGGGGGGGGGAAGTGAAATAATTGAGCTAATCTGCGTCACCAAGACTGCGTGGGTGCGGTTTGATCAGATTTTATGTCTCCATGGCAACAAGCAAACAACACATCTATCACATTCAGATTTTGTAAAATTCTGATTGGTAGATGTAAATGTGAGTGTGTGATCTCAGCTTTTTTTCCCCCCATCAGAGCCCTGCCTCTTTCATATCTCAACTAGTGAGAAGAGCTCAGACTTAACCACAAGTACAGAAAGCCATCATGTAAAATATTCATGATAGTTCAAACTTGGCAGCCTGTTGTTAAAAGTTAGACGAGAAACATACTGATCAACCAAACTGTCTTCCTCACATCAATGAAAACAAGAATAAAACTTTCTCTATGTCTGAAGGAATTAAATTTGTGGTTAAATGTGGTTTGCGAAGGCGTTGAGGAAATCCAAAGTTTGATGCAGAGGCAGGAGTGTGATGTTACAGACAATCATAGAGAGGAGTGTGTGTTGGGACTTTACCTGAATCTCAAGCTCTGAGATCTGTTGCTGGAGTTCAGCCATAGCAGCAATGTTGTCAGCTTCCCGCAGTCTCACTGCCATCACCTCTTCCTTACTCTGCAGAACAACAGAATGACGTTACTGATAGTTCTACCGAAGCCCCAGTAGGTGTGATACCAATACGGTAAAAATATGTTCAACATTCGTGTAATTTCTATTTGTGTATGTGTGAATCTTTCAGAGGGAAATTCCTGACAGATTGTCAGCTATAAAGAAATCTAACAGCATCAGAACACACATCATAACGAAAAACATATTTCCTCTTTCTGGATCTGGATATTGACCTCATCAATTTTACATGTTAACAATATATACTACTATATTTTTTTATTTCATTTACATTATGCCATTTACATTATGCACAGAGTTGTACCTTGCATTCAATCTCAGCTTGTCTCCGCTTGATCTCTTGGAGTTGCACATGCAGGTCTTTATTTTGCACCGTCAGTGTTTGCACACACTCCTGCAGACAGCGACTCTCCTGCTCCGCCCGTCGCAGCTGGTTACTGTGAATCTGATTCTGTGTCAGAACAGGTGGTATATTGAAGGAAAAAAAAAAACATATTTTTTTAAATGATCAATTCAATCCAAAAGAAATTGAGCGTTAAAACTGGATGATGAGAATTGCCTGCAGTGCTTCACATGCAAGTATCTGAGGTGTTTAGAACAGATGACTGCTGCCCTCTGAAGGATACATGTGAAAATGCAGGTAAAGACCACACTGGAAGCTCATTTAGATCCACCTTACTCCACACTACTGTATACCTTTGATTTCCTATGATTAATGGCATTATAAGGACAGAAAACAAAGAATTTGCACCACACAGCCTAATGTGGTCAGAGAGCTGATGTGACCTCTGACCTGCGTCTCCATCTCCAGCATCCTCTGTCGCGTCTCTCGCAGCTCTGCCTGGACCTCGGCCTCACGCAGCCTCACACTCATCAGCTCGTCCTGCAGCTCGCTCACAGTGTTCTTCCTGGGGCTGTCTTTCCAGCGACCAGCGGTGCGTGCCAAGTGGCGCTGAGGAGAGGCGGTACAGTCTTTCCATCACATTTTGCAAAAAAAGTGCGACAAAGATAACGTGTTGATTAAAAAGTCCTGTGTGCTCACCTGCCAGTGCTCTTCCAGGTCTCTGACTTGCTGCCTCAGTTCTTTCAGGCCAGTCAGAGCCTCCGCCTCTCTCAGCTTCACCCCTATCAGCTCCTCTTGAAGACGCGCCACATTTGTGTCATCCGGTAGAGATGTGTTCCTCTAAGGAAGGTGGGTACAGTCATATAGCTGGGTCACATAGTAATATAATTTGTCTAAGATTTAATCATAGGCATCATGTCTGAATCAACACACCTTCTCCATATCCAGGATCTTGTCTTGCATCTCCTTGAGGGCACACTGAGACTCTGCCTCCTTCAGCCGGGCCTGCACCAGCTCTCTCTCCAGCTGCAGGACGGACTCCTCAGAGTACCGTGGGGCTCCCTTCTACAATAGGACATGTGCGTGAAAGCAGGGCTACAAACGTGGATGCCTGTGTGTCGTCAAGTTGGCATTTAATGAAGGACTAAATATTCAACCTGCTGTAATGTAAACCAGGGTTTCAAAATAATTCCAGTCTAAATAGGCTCAGCTAAATCATATTTATTCTCTTGGAAGAAAATACACCTCAGTGCCTCTTGAATTCAACCTTCATTTCAGCTGACATCAACCATTTTGCCTTTCACATTCACATGAATTATTCATGGATGCTCATTGTGAAGCAAGATAGCAAATTATGTAAAACAATGTAACGCCGGCACATGATCATCTGGAATCCAGCCATCAATAATTGAGAATGTTAGGTCAATAGATATGCAGCGAGAGGATTCTGAGAACAGGGTGCAGTGTGTGAAATCTACCAGCCTGTGAGACAACTGCTTACAAATTCATGAATGCATTTCGGAGAATGCAGAAGACTGTAAATGGTGGCTGAACTGTGTAGTGCACCGTGTCAAAATTTGAATTCATGCATGCCAAAACAGATCATTAAAGCCGATGTGCAAAGTGAGAAAATCCCTGCTCTGCCACTGTTTGGATCTTGTTGCTAGGGAATACGTGCCAACTGGGCGGTGGCGGGGGGGGAGCAGATAACCGTGACACATGTCAACTGTAGTGATACACATTTTGACTGGCCCAAGTGTCAGTTCTAGCACACCGCATGATCTTGAAATGGTCAGCCTGAGGTTTCAGTACTGCACAACACACAAAATGATCCGGGAAATATCCCAGTCCCTGTCAGGGCAGGACCTGAGCCAGTGCAACCTGCCAGCTGGGGACTCTGTGGCCCTCCTTACCGCGTGTGGCTGCTGCTGCTGTTGCTGCTGTTGCTGGAGCTGCCTGATGGTTTTCTTGGCCTGCTCCAGCTCAGCAGTGGCCTCCTCGCTCTGCTGTTTGACTGTGGCCAACTCCCGCTTGACCAGGTAGTTCTCCTCTGCCTCCTGAGCTCGGGTCACTTGTCCCTTGGGACATAACCAACCGAGGGGGGGGTGGAGTGAGCACGACAACAAGTGAAAACGAGAGGGCGGAATGGGTGGGCAAATCAGAGGTGAAGATGAGGGATTGGGTTTTCTAAGGACATGCTTGTTTTAGTTCTAGCAATGTGTGATATCTATTTAAATCCTTAGCTTTCATCAGCATGATTTGTGATTCTCTCACTTGGTCTGCCACAATGTGGTATTTCATGCACTTATCCAACACTGTCATCAGTTATAATCTGGTTTAGATCATAATTCAGAGAATCATCAGAGTTACTTTGATCCCACATTATTACTGTCTTTCATTGTGCTAATCATAAGCATGCAATACTAAAGAGAGAGAAAGAAGAAGAAGGGTGCAACAAAATCAGGGTAAAGAGAAAATGAGGGATATACCTGGATCAATCTATCTGCCAAGGAAGCACTTTCCTACAAAACAGAAACATCAACAAGAGACAGTAGAGAGACAATCCAGAGGACAGTTTAAAGCACACACAAGAACAACTGATTGTTTTAGAGAAGAAATGCAATGTTCATTTCCCCTCCAGAAATATTTGTTTACAGATGGTTTACATTCAGGGGTAGAAAAGGAACATTGCATGCAGGTGTGGTGAAAAAGGTGCAAATAAGCTGTTGACACAGTGAAAAACAGGTGGTGCTGATAACACAGTGACAGGTTTCAGACAGGAAGAAGCACAGGACAGCTCTGGTTCTAGCAGAGAGTGAAGTATGGTGCAGCAGCAGCACAATGACAGAGCTGTGTGTGTATCTAAAGAGAAGCTGAGGTTCATCCAAGCTTTTGAACAGTTTGCGTTAATGAAGAGTTAAAAAGGTCCTGGGAGTTACGTGACAGGGACGGGTCAGAGAGCAGCAGCCTCCAGCTGATTTTAAATAACGGACTCAATTAGACCACAGTGTTCCATCCTGCAGGCGAACGCGGTGGAGCGGACACCCTTGCTATCCATGGCAGACCTCATGCATGGTGCCTTTACCTGGCAGCAGTAGTGCCCATTCCAAATGACACAAAGAGGTGCAGAATGATACAAACAGTGCAAACTTGGCATGCAGTGCTTTGTATCAACAGCATCAAGCAGCCACTTTCACATTCCAAACAGGCTTGTTACAGTCTTTGCTTCAGTTAGTGGTGTCGGGTGAATTTTAAAATTCACCACAGGAGGTTATACGAGCCACACAGACAGTCACCGTGACACCAAGACAACCTGAAGACCAAATCCAGCTTCAGTTTCTGATAGTAACTTTATCTACAATCAGAAAGTTCACCATACAGTACCAGTCAACCAGCGATGGTTTATCATGTAAACGGACGACTTTCAACTAACACAGCACAGTTAGTGAAAGACAAGACTCCATCAATAGGAGGAGATGCATGATGTATGAGCATACACAGCTGGGTGGGTTAATGTAATGTTGATGAGCAGGGAGCGGTGTCTGATTGGTTTGTCTGGTGACGGAGCACCTGTGGCAAACACTCATGCACTTACTTTCTCTAGTGTGTCTATCCTCTGCTTCAGGAGCCTGTTCTCTGTCCGCAGCCTCTGCAGAACAACAGGTTACAGAATCAGATGAAAATACGCATAGTTGAGCCTTCAGGACTTTTAAACACTAAACAATCTGCACACACCTTTATCTCCACCTGCTCCTCCATCTCTTTAGTTTTGATTGTAGTGTATTCTTTCTCTAACCTGAAAAAAAAAATCACAAAGAAAATCAAGAAAATGAAGTAGTAATAAAATGTGTCGAGCATGGTCCAGGGTATTGAAAAAAATAGAAGCACAAAAAGTGGGCCAAATGTCATAAACATTCTGTAAGAGAAAAAAAATATTTTTTTTTCCTCGCCTGCCAATATTTTGAGATTTTAAAAAAATATTGTACACATTAAAACAAGGCAATGCTTTCATTTACAGGGCTGTCATTTCTGAATAAGTTCCAAGAAATCTCTTGTTAAGTGGTTTTATATATTTTGGAAAATAGAAACAGTGTCCGAGTAATAAACTGACTTTCAACGAAATAATTTAATTTAAGTGTGATTTTAAGCCATAGAGGATTAAATTAAGCTTTTGACATAAACTAGCAAACTGTACTCACAGATAATATAAAAAGCTAAACGTTTAAAGGTTTTGTAGCCTTCATTAACTTTAATTTGATTTTTTTTACATACATGTGTAAATATATATACACAAAAATATATATGTGTGTGTGTGTGTGTATATATATATATATATATATATATAATTTCTTTCCCTTTCCAGGCACCCCAACTTTAATTAATTCTAAATATATTCATAAATCTTATATAATATAATAATTATATTAATTCTTACAAGTCTTGAATACTAATTCTCAACATCCCAAAATCAGTAGACGCAGCCATACAATTGATTGAAATCACAGATGTTATGAAATAGTTACAGAAAAGTTCAAAGTGCTAAGTGGAAACCCAGAATATTAAACATTCATGAGTGCGTCTACATTTCCAGGGTCTTATGTAGAAATAAATGCATCAACAAAAAGAGAGGTTAGTAGGTGTTGATGAACTGAGAGTTGTGCTTACTTTTTCATCTTCTTGGCATTGTATTTAACTTGATAAGCAGCCTGGATGACCTTATCTGGTCCACTGTCGAGCTGGTGTGGGATGACCCTCTGAAAGTGCTGGAGTGCAGTAAGGAAACAGAAGCAGGATAAGTGCCACACAGCTGCTTTCAAACAACTATGCACCCTGATGTCTTAGTCAGGTGTTTCTCTGACCTCAGAAGCACTACATCAAATGTCGGCATGTACACAGGTACAGGCTGGGAGGGCACATGTATCAATTATCTGGGTGTGGTAGAGGTTCCTCCCATGAGGGTTTTGCACATCTTGCACCAGAAATCTGAGCTGACACGTTAATGTGGATGTGATATACCTGTAACATTCCCTCCATGTCAAGCTGGATTAGTTCAGTCTGGTTCATCTGAAGAATGGCCAGTCCCACACGAAAGACTATCTCCAGACCCTGAAGAAAGAGATCACCAGTAGTCACAGAAGGATTCAGGTTTTGCAAGAATAAATGACGGCTAGTATGCTGTGAAATGTATTTTAAAGTGGAATGAGAATTAAACGTTTTCAAGGGAGTGATGAAACAACTCACAGTAACTATTTAATGTGCACTGTAGTGTTTGTTTTCTCCAACAGGTGGCGTTAATGGATAACCTTTTCTTAACAGTTTTCATTTCGTCTGTATTATATATGTAATGTAATCATTCTTAGAGCAGCAGAAGAAATCTTTACCTCACATCTTTTCTGTGAAAACGACAATGTAAGGGCTCAATGGTGTTTCACATCTGCATTTTAGACTTCTGGTCTGAGACTACTAGCCTCAGTGACATACAGTGAGTGCAACAGCAGGACACTGTGCAACTACTAGATCACAAACATTAGACAGAAGCTAATGTGCAAGTCAAAGACAAATCCCTGAGAGTATCTCTTTTACAAAATGAGTAAATGCAAGCTAAATAAATAGAATGACAAATATACTGATTCTTGATACATGTACCTAACTACAGGATGTCATTCAAAGCAGGTGAACTGAACTACAGTTCCCTGTTAACTAACCTCACACATGAAGATGTCAAAGATCCTTGTGGCAACGGGCAGAGGGAAGGAGGTGAGAAAGATGGTGAGGAACCAGGAGGAGGCGTACATGGAAGTGTGAAAGCTCTGAGCCTGGAAATGTATATGCAGCTCCGGGAGTTGCTCCTGTGAGGCAAAAATATATCATATGGATTCACACCATTACCACTGTAAGATGACTACATTTTGACAATCCATTGCAGCAGTCTCACTACCAACAACGAGGCCTCTACCTGGATCATACACTCAAACTGGTACATGCAGAGTCCCAGCTCAGCCATACTGGGTTTGAAGAGCTCTCGTAATCTGTAGTCTTGCATCAACTTGACAAACACACAGAAAGCCTCCTCTTCTGGCATCTAGAAAAATAACAGGATGACATCAAACCTCAAATCGGTCTGTTATTCAGTAAAACATGCCAAACTATTTGCAGGAAGCTGGTGAATCAGTGTTTGTATACATGTGTGGTGAAAATGGTATTATTACCTGCATGAGTAGCAGTCCTACAATGAAAGCACTCCCTTGACAGTAGCCAACTTCACGGTCAACCAGAGAATATGCCTGAGGTAACAGTGATTAGCTTTGGATGAGTGATGGTCAAGAGTCAAACCTGTACACACTTCAGTTACAGTTTTTACCCTGAAACTAATGTTAAGTCCCTTTTTTATTTCTTATCTGTACACAGTCAGGTTCATGAAATGCAGGACTTACCTTCATGACATTGAAGAGCACTTCCTGGCCCAAACTGTCTTTCTCTTTGAAGAATTCATGTTCAGGGTAAGTGCGGGCGATGTCTCGGCGAATCAGCTTCTCGCAGGGTGACGTCATCTTCAGTAGTTCGGAGTACTGATCCTTGATGGGCATATTCTGGGCATTGCACAACAGCTGCCATACTATTGCCCGAAAGTGGTGGGGAACCCCTTTTCTAACAAGATCCTGTGGAACAAGAAAAGAACAGATACTCTGAGAAATGAATAATAATCTACCTATATTTTAATGACATTTATGACAATTTAAAAAGAATTTGGGACTGTGTTGAATGTAGACAAAAGTGTAAGAAAACACATTGGCAGCCTGTGGAGAAAAAGAACAGACCCTGGGATGGAGCCACAGTCATGTTTTGTGCTCTAGTATTTATTTTCCCATTTCAGCACAGTGTGCATCTAATAATAATACAATTTCCACTGCCAACTATGATCTTGTCAGTGAGGCACTTTTTTACTGTGATTTGTTTCCATATTACTGCTGATACAATTTGATTAAGCAATTTCCTGTGCTGACGGGGAACACTGGTCTTTCCTGCTGTGATGGGATTGTCTGTGCGTGTCTCTGTGTGCATCTGGTCAGTCCAGGGTGCATCTGGAGCAGAGGTCCACCCACACAGGCTTTCAGCAGGGGATCCCTCTTCCCTCTCAGAGGTTACACAAGACAAACCAAGCTTTGTGTTGGAACAAAGCACCGTCTCATATCTCGACTGTATCTGAGCGAAAGCTGCTTTCTGAGGCGCACCACCACTTTACACTAATGCTTGGTGACAGGCTCCAACATCGATATCATGTACATCAGTAGGGCAGTAGTGGGTCTCAAAAAAATAGAAAACATGAACACATCAGGGGTTTTGCTGACAAGGACAGAAAAGTCAAAGTTCCTTCCTTCATGCAACAGAAACGTTTCTCTGTAAGCCAAGGGGAAGAAAACATCACATTTGTGGAGGCCTCAGCAGTTATGATTAATATCCTAGCGGCAGCCATCTGGTTATTACTACTTGTGGTAAATTACATAATAACACCCATGCATGTTCACAGGTCCTTCGCAACACTTCCCCATTTACACACAGTGGCAAGAAAAACAGAAACCCTGCCCATGCAGAAGATGTTGTGTCCCATTTGCATATGTGCAGCTTCATCAGGGTCATGCAACAGCAACTCCATATCCACACTTGTTTTTCTATGTGAACGCATTACAGATAAAAAGGTGCTTTAAATGGGACTGTGAGAAAGGCATGATCATGGGTGCTGCTTTCGGGTGTCATCATGACTGGAGAGCAGATGGGCTGCAATTTCAAATCTGAACAGTGAACGGACTGTGAACGTGCTCCCTGTTGGGATTTCACTTGTTGCAGGGATACGCAGAAGAAGAGATTGATGCAGGAAGTGTGCAAATCGGAGAGTAGTGTGTGAAGGCATGGACATTTTTGAGGGGGAAATAAACTTTTTTTCGTCGTGAAGGCATTATCTCTGTGATCGATTATTCTGGGCTTTCGGTGAAGTGAGTATGAGTTGAAAAGGCATGCTGTTGTCACGTAAGGGCCCTGATCATGTTGCACAGACATTTTAATTGCATTTTGTGTCTGTTAAGAGGAGCAAAAGGCACTCTTTAGGATATGCCCCCAAGAAGTGTATTATAACTAACTGGGAGCTCTGGCCATTAGCTGCAGGATCTCCAGTTTGCTAGAACCAATTCTGGTCGTTCTTTTTCCTATCGACAGTACTCGGTGACCTCTGGTAATCAAGACTAGGATAAAAATCCGCCGAAGTTCCCCTTTAATAACACCCTAATCACACCTTCAAACATTTGCAGTTGCACCAAACAGCTGAACATAGGAAACTACAGCTTACTTGCAGAGTCACTGCCATGACCCGGGACTGTTATCACAATGTTATCCAAAGTCCTGAAGAGAGTTTTTTTATTTTCTGGTCATTGTGTTTACACACATTTCCACTGTTCATGTGCAGGTTAAATCAAACTGCCATTGACAGTGACTGGGTTATAGGGTTATCACAAGACTTCAGAGAGTAACTGTAGGAACAAGCAACCTAAAATTAGCTTCAAATGTCAAGAACTAAAATAACAAGTTCAATGACAACACTACAGGGTCACCAGGGACAAAGATAGCCTTAGAAATTATTTCTGGACCAAGTAAACATTCAAACAGATAGGACCATTGTAGCATTTGGGCCACAGATTGATACAAATACCTGTGAGACACACATGTATTACAAGAGAGACTGTAGATTTTTCATCATGTTTAAAGACGTTTACATGCAGAAACAGAATCATTGAAGCTCCCGTCTCTTTCTTTGAAACCTGGAATACTGTTGTTCTTGTCAGATGGGCAGTTATTAAAATGCAGACAAAAATTGTCTTCAGTAGATGCTGGGTCAAATGTGTCTCAGTAAGCTCTTAATACAGTATTGGTAAGCTCTTAAGCAGGTCTGCACGAGACTCGGCTGATACTTCACACAGGTAGTCATGGGCACTCGTCTCACCTTAAGCTGCTTCTCCTTTTTCTTGCGCACGTCCTCCCACTCATTGACGATTCGTCCCCACAGGATCCACGAGTCTTCCTCCAGGTGGGAGAGGTTGGAGGAGGCGGATGAGCTGGACACCAGGGAGGAGCCACTGTTTCGCCTGGAGCCATTCATGGAGCGTAGCGACTTGCTGTCTGTCTCCAGCAGCCTGAAGGAAAGGCAAGACGTAGGATGTACTGTTAACACTGTGCACACACACAACATTTTGTTATTGTTATCAAATGTTTCTTCTCAACAGATACTATTTAAGAATACATAGTTCAGAACTGACAGAATATCTAGATCCTTTACAAAAATGTTGAGAAATCTAATACAAAGTGCTACTTAGTCAGTTAATATGTTGCTGCTCTATTGTCTCTGGTGGTGCTTTGAATTGTCAGTATTAGTATAAATATGAGTCAAATTCAATCAGTGTAAAATCAGGCGCACCACACATTTTGAAGATTAGTATGTCAAACTAAAATATTTACGAAACAAGCATGTGTATCTGTGATGCAAAGCTAAAAGAGCCCCAGTTCCCTCTCTCTATACCCCTCTCTCCCTGTGTTTCCAGCCTGTCTCTCTCTATACTGTCAATTGTCCAACAAATTATCTTTTTTAAAAGGAAGTGTTCTAGTCCAGGTAGTGAAAATATAAGACTGGCAAACAGCAGCCTTAATGGCAAGGTAGCTTTTCCAAAGACAGTTTTTTCAAGTTGTGTTGAGATGTTTAGCAGGAGCCAAAGTACCAAAGCTGTCACTTTTAAAGGCTGGAAGAAATCAATGTTTACAGATGAATCAAAGTTTAAACTTAACAGTTGCAATAAGCTCACATGTAATGCCAAACTTTAACAAAATTACAGTGAAAACATGCATGTGGAAATATTTAGGTGTGACAGTGTGTCTTATTCTGGAGTTCATAACCTGTACTGAGAAGATAATTCTCCAGGAAAACAATTACAAATCTAGGTTGTGCCAAGTCTGTTTGACATCAAAACCACAACAAGTAGTTCTAATAGCATTGCCTTACCCCCACCCATCTCCAGACCTCAACTGAAGATCTTTACCAAAATTTGAAAAGAGAAAATACAAAAACATACAGGACATCACCAGACATACATGGATGTGCTAGAAGAGTGGAGGGATGCTAATATGAGTCCTCAAATTCTGCTTATGCCAGACATTTTGCAAGCTGTGACTGAGGCAAACCACAGCCAGTGTTAAAATCAAAGCCGCCCACATTTCTAGCTGCAGTGCTACAAACGGAAAGCTTATTTAAAAAGCCACTTGGCACTAATGTATGGCAGCTTAATGACTGTAAAATAACCCACTGCAGCACAGTAGGGCTGCAACTAATGGTTATTTTTCATTATCGATTAATCAATTAGTTGTTTGGCCCAGAAAATGGTAAAAAAAAATGCTGATCACTGTTTTCCCAAAGACTAAGGTAACTTTCTCAAATGTCTTGTTTTGTCCACAGCTGCAAGATATTCAGTCCACTGTCTCACAGGACAAAAGAAACTAGAACATATTCATATTTTAGAATTAAATTAAAATGATTCACAACAATTAATCAGTTATTAAAATAGTTGGTTATTAGTTGACAACTAATCGATTAAACGACTAATCGTTGCAGCTCTACAACATAGTGACTGTCACAGCCTGATCATTAGCAGTCAATTAGCAATGACTTATCCTCTCCAGATGTCTAAAATTAACATCTGATTCAAGCGTTGCCCAGACACAGAATAAAGCTATGCATCAGCTGGTCCAGTTATCTAGAGTGTTCATCAGCAGTCACAACAGGATTATAAACAGGAGGAATTTCGGTACATTTTCAATAAATGTAAGTCCCCAAATTCCTCTTATTCAAATTCTCACAATAACTAGCAGGTTAATACTGACATTAAAAACAACACCTTTGTACTCGCATTGAACGACTGCACAAAAAGGGATGTTCAACACTTTAGGGAAGAGGGTTGAAACTCATTTAAATTCTGTTGTCAACAGCTTTAAGTGGCTAAAAAAACCTACAACAGATCTGTTATAAAAGCCACAATGAATCCACTGGAGGTCAGTAAAATATTTCCTTCATCATCATGTATATTTCATCAACAGTCAGCATTTAAAGCTAATTGCTGGGGATGAAAAAGAAGCAAGTTAATCTCTAGCCCTGTATCACTCTTATCAGTTTGTCACTGGAGTTAATGACAGAGTGACCTGATCAAGGATCAGCGTGCAGAGAGCTGCAACTCCCAACACTGTGCGGCACCAAGGAGCTCACGACAGACACACAAAAGGCTCAGACACCTGATCTCGGAAAAAGGCCGGGGCCTCTCCATTGGAGCCTGTGACGTCACCCAGGGTGCTCCCAGAATGGCTAGGGTTGCAGCCAAATTTGGGTCGTGTGGGAGGGAGTGAAATGGACGACCAGAAAGACCAGCCTGCAACAGAGTTTCTTCACTTGTATTCAGCTCTGACGTGGAGCTAAAAAGTGGATAAAAGGAACATCTTTTAGCTAGAACTTGGCAGGAATTGCCAGATTTTCAAGCATTTCAGTCAGCTACAAACGGTTACAAACACTGCAGTTCCAGGTTACACATGAACCTGAAGGTACTTGCACCTCTGCTAATAATTCACCAGTAATCAAACAAGAGTCTGAACCTTCATAAAAGTAAAATAGGAAAAAACTACAGAGAATTATTTTTGGTCAAGCAATATTTGCCATGATTGTAAGAATATTTTGAATAAAATGTCGAGCTAGGACACAAAACACATCTAGATGCAAGTGTCTGACTGATTGCAACATCATGACAATTTGCAGTTTGTTATAGCCAAAGAACAAGCCTACAATACTATACACCTTACCAAGATAAACTCATGATGTACTCCTCATGTTTCTGGTTTCTAGGAATTCTCGAGCAATGGCATGTCTGACTTACAGATTGCAGCAGTCAGTGTGAGACTTCCTCGTCCGTGTGATACTACTGAACGAATGCTTGTGCCTTTTATCTGCTCTGTAGGGTACAAAGGCCTCTCAAAACACACAAGCACTTGCTAAGCAAGTGCAGTGTACCATACACATGAATACCAATGTGCTCCCTCCTGTTGCATTTGTCTTGTAAACACCCCAATGACAAAATGATAAGATTTGTGTGTTCCGCAGATATCAGTATGCGGTTTAGAAAGAAGAGACTGCATTGTCATTCAGAAGCAAAGCGTGGCAGCAGAGAAATGTGAAAAGGCCCAGCTGTGTGTTGGGGTGGAGGCAGGGGTCGAAGGGCAGGTGAACTATGAGCCCCTCGACTCGACTTCTTTTTGCCAGATGGTAGTCTGCACAGAGCTTTATAAAGCACATTAGGGAGAAAACGAAACATTTCCCTGGTTGGTTTTGATCTCGCCTAATGAGGGAAAGCATCACACAACAAGTGCCACTTGGCATTCTGAAGCAGTGGCCGTTGTGGGCGTACCGATGAGTCACCGACCTCTGCATTCAACAGAGCTTTGCTGTCTTCTTTGCTGTGACACAATCCCGAACTCTGAACTGCGTGCTCGGTTTCCATGCTGACGCAGAGTGCACTAGCCATGGGTGAGAGTCACAACAGAGGAAGAATTCTCAAAGTTGGCAACCAAGGATGTGTTGCGTCATCTTCTGACAGTACTTTAATCTAATGTGAACAATGTGCACCTCGGGGACAGCACACAGAATACAACTTACTTTACAAAAGACTTTTACTGGTCAGTGTGAGGCTATTGTTACCGCTTATGACCAATAATTAGATGTATGTAGTAGTATATCTACATCGTACCAAGTTACATGACAACTGCTCCAACAAGTTCTGGACACATTCTCTGGTCCAGAAACAACTCAAATCTGGACCCCTTTCTTGGTTTTAATTAGCAAACTTCAGATAACTCAGTAAAACTATTATTTGGAACAGTGGCCTGGAGTAAAACTAAAGCAGTTCGTAAACTCTGTCATAGGTGGCCAAAAGACATATTGTGTGAATACAACCAACATGCAAGTAGGCTGGACACCACACAGAGTGAAACACTGAGGAAGAAGAAAGGAAGTAACCAAACTTCTCACCAATTTTACAATTTTATTGGATATCTCTCTAAATATGTGTAGATACTGAAGGCTTTGATTACTATAGGTTTTTTTATCTTTTTTTTTTCTTGGCCCCACAAAATAATACAATATATGTCATAATCAGCATGTAAATCGTTTTTGTTGTGCAAACTGATAGTAAAAAGAACAAAAAAATAAAAAGATTTGCCAACAACTTTAACATTGCTTCCTTTTCAAAACAAAGCATTTTAAAATACTTGTATAAGCACTATAGACTGACATAAAAGAGTATTTAAGTATTCTAAAATATTCTATTGCCAGAGAAACAAATGAGATACAGCAGTTGTTTCAGTTATCCAACAGTATAGTGGTCTATGAATAATTCATAAAATACAAGAAATTAAAACCGGTCTACCGGTTCATTCTGTATATCAGCACTAAAAATCAAATGCACAATCACAATTACTAAAATGTGATGATTTTATCTTTACTTTCACTCTCTTATAAGCTGAAGCGTGTGTCGTCTACCCAACCTTTGTATATTTTATCCCAGGCAAGGTTAAGCCAGCGGATGAGCAAGTCTCAAATGAGGCCGCAGCCTAGTGAGCCAAACATCACACACAGATGAAACATCTTGAAACCAGTCAGTCTTGAGTCTTCACACTCACACTGTATTCAGGTTACCACGGGCTAGGGCCAAATGACAACCAGCAAATAAAAGGCTGACGACAGATCAAAACTGACTCACAACTTTGCCTTTATGGGTTCAGCACACTGATAAAAAGCAGACAAACCCTCAAAGAACAAAAACCCCAAATCTTCACCAATCAGCTAAACCCCCAAATCCTCCAGAACCTGACAAACTGGAGGCTTTCAATTTTCCTTCAATCATTATTTTACTCTTTGCATTCTCCAGTTAGCTAGTTGACATGTCACAACCTGCTGGACGTCACTCTATGTGTGTGTATGTGTGTGTGTGTGTGTGTGTGTGTGTGTGTGTGTGTGTGTGTGTGTGTGTGTGTGCGGGGATCAGGAGGGGGATGGTCGGAGTATGTAGAATGACTGTATGGCAGTCAGAGTAGTGCAGGTTTGTAAAGAAAACAAGCCACGGACAAATAATAATAAGATAACAAGTTTATAGTGACAATTGAATAAAAATATTATTTAACAATACACAAATATTTGAGGGAAATCTTTATATAAAAGTTATGAACGAAAGGTAAAAAATGTACATGAACATCATTTTATTATCATTATTATTGTTGTTGTAATTATTAATATTATTTTATAAATGAAGTTAAAAATCAATTAATAATTAAGGAAAATATATAATAAACAATGGTGTCTGCAACAGGCCAGGAGCAATTGGAAGAAGCTAATGACACCCTCCAGCTCTATCACATTTCTGAGTGTGGTAATCTGTCTACTGGTGACAAGAACAAGCTGCATATCATAGTTTCATAGTTCAAGCAGGAATTAGATACTTAAATAAATATGTCCTTCATTGAAACTCCTTAGAAACAGTCTGAGCTTCTTCCCTAAAGACTTGCATTTAGGTTTTCACGGGCCGAGTCAAACGCGGTCAAACTGTAACGTATGTACATTATTTTATTAATCACCTATCAACCTTCTCACTTCACAAGCAATTAATTAATATGTTGGAAGAAAGTCAGTGACAGCCTCAATTATCTCACATTAATGACTGTCTAAGCAACCAGAAGAGATATTCTACACTTTCACACATATCTGAATGTTTTAAATATTTGACAAACACAGCTCCTATGATTGCCTGACTGTGTAACTGCAGTACACATGGTACTGGCCTCAAAAGCGGTCAAGATGATGGGCAGAAGAAGCCTCAGAGACGTGCTGCCTACCTGTTCTGCTCCTCAAGCTTGGCAAGCAGCTCCACATCGTCGGGACTGAGCTGCGCAGGCGAAGACGGCGAGAGGGCAGGCGAGGACAGAGACGTAGAGGAGGAGGTGGTAGTGGTCTGCAGGGACGTGGGCGTGGCCACCTGGCTAGCCATCTGACTGACCGTGTGGGACACTGAGTTCTTCACCCATGAGAGAGTAGAACTCAGCTTACCAGCAACCTTGTCTGTCGCCACCTGCAGAGGATGGAGAATACCTATTAATTCAGTAATAACACATAGTCTCTGTTTAGCTATAGGTTTTTGTAGCATTTATTTAGTATTTGTACCCTCTTTTACAGAGCACACAACTTCTTAACTTCTCTCCCTGTCAATTATGTGAAGCTTACATTGTTTACAATGAAGGACATATTTATTTAAGTATCTAATTCCTGCTCGAATTATGAAAGAGTTCCACCGTTCTTATCTTGCAGCTACTGAACATCATTATAGCCTGACACCTTTTAGTGCTTCATTATCAATTTTGTTAGAGCTGGACCGGTAGCATAGAGCCAGCAGCCAGTATCGGCTGGGTCAATACAGATGCTTAGTTTTCCAACTCAGCATTGGCAAATTCATTTGTCTATTTCTGGTTCCACAATCAATACTTTGAATGACTTCTTTGTTTTCCAGTAAATTTCTTTTGAGTAAGGATTAAATGACAATCAATGGTCGTTGACTTGTATTTTTTAAATTAATTTAATTTAAAAAGGAAGATGCAGATTTTTATCCTACTAAATTGACACATTTCTTTACCTGTAACTTTTACCAATGGACTGTACAAGTTACACTGTTACAATTAGTGCTGAGCAATGGCCAGTCTACAGAAATATTATGTTACTATAAAGTGCTTGTTGTTGCATAATAATTATGTTTTTTTTTCTTCTTTCTAGATTAATTCAAACACAATCCCTGCTATTACAAGTTAAATAAATTGAATGTGGAGAATCTTCTATACATTCCTACCTGCTATTCCAAATGATCCAAAATCATTGGCTTTCAGCTGCTAATATACTCCATGAGGAAATCCAGTATGTATTCATTCAGAGAACACCAAAAAAAGAAAAGTCTATCAAACTGAAATGTCATTAACGCGTTCTATCCTGCCAGTAATCCATTCTCCTGAACCTTCGACCAATTTAATGACACACTGCTCTGTAGTCATATGCTGATCATACTGTCAAGAAGGGTCAAAGTACTCCACAAAAGATAGGACTTAACCTTAGGTATCCTGCTGGGTAAAACAGGAAGTGGACCTACGCACTCAGCAAAAAAAAAAAAAAATCAGATTTCTACCTCACACCTGAGAAAAAACAGACCGTGCATTTGGTTTCACCCCAGCAGGAAGTCTGGATACTGCCACCAGGCAGGAAACCAATCATTTCATGCATCGTACTCTAAAATGATGAGTCATTTCTCTGTGAGTATCAGGTCTACAGAGGGCTGAAGACATAAAGGAGAAGGAGAGAAAAACAAAGGAGGTGGAGGAAAAGATTGTGGTAACTGTGGTGAAAGGAATGTGCTACAGTACAGACTGAAAATATCTTAGCTAAGCTTTCTTTCATCCTCCTGTACACACAGAAACACAGAGTGACTTAACTGTTACCACACAACACAGACATGACAGTCTTTACTGGTCCAGTGTGTAACATTTAGGAGGATCTATTGGCAGAAATGCAATAACATTTATAGGTACTATCAATTGTGTATAGTCACCTGAATATAGTTTGACATTATATCAAATCAAATCAAGTTTATTTGTATAGCCCTTTACAATAGCCGAAAGGTACCCAAAGTGCTTTACAACAAAGCCATGAAACAATACATAACACATATATAATATACAAATACAATTTAAAGTGCTGTAGTGCTGCAGCACTGCAGCGTATTAAAAGCCTTCCAGAAATGCACAGAAAGGAGCAGATAAAAAGAGTACACCTAAGAGACAGTACTGTCCTAGTCAGAATTAAATGCTAATCTAAAAAAGTGGGTCTTAAGCTGCGATTTAAAAAGGCCGAGATCAGTAGTGGTGCGAATGTCAGGGGGCAGTTTGTTCCACAGTCTAGGAGCAGCGACGGCAAAAGAAATTATTATATTATTATTATAGTTGTTGAATGAGCATAAGTGAGACACGAATTTGTGAGAAATCCTGCATGAATGCAACCCTCCTCAAGTCAGAAAGCCATGCTTTGGATGATCATTTTTTTGGTACTAGTACCATAAAGCAAATAAACTAATACCTAAACTAATTATGAATATAGCGAAGAAGTAATGAAGAAGTTTTAATATATAAAAGCTGTATATTACTGTATATTACATTACACATTCAATTTCGGGGGGGAGAGAGAGAGAGAGACAGGAAATACACCAAACCTTTACTGTTTTTATAACAACACCCTGTTCCTGAACTGCCGCTGTGGGGGGGCATATTTACTAACCTTCATCATCAATATGACATTACAACTAAACTAACAAATCCTACAGGGTGGCTGCATCAAATCAGCATGGATGAATAATACCATGACCCTGAAGCTATAGAGGGAAACACTCCCATATGACAAATACTGTGATATTAATACAAGAAAGCACCTTCACTACTTTTGTTTTTTCCATACAACTCAGTACACCGCTCACACAAACTGCTCACACAAACAGTAAGTAAACAATAATGAGTCTGAAAATGCAGGCTGCATTTACCCACTCAGGCTGTCATTAACAAAAATAACAGGATCCACACCAGAATAAAGAATATAACCAATGGTTGTGTGTAGTGCAGACTGACTCAGATGCTGATCAGCACATTTTTCTACTTCAACAGCAGAAAAGTAAAAAAGTAAAAGCATAGTCTATAGTCCAACATATTAATACATCCAATTATGCCACAAAGAATTAACAGAGTCACACTATGACCAAACAGCACAATAAATATAGGCCATCTAATCTTCCCTACAGCCACATGAATACAAAAGACACCACTTAATGTAATTATTGCATTTTAAAAGGATATCAAAAAAGAATGAGATATGCTTTGCAAAAAGAATCACCAATGTTACTAATATGGGAACATTAACAAAACTGCTGATCCTGAAAAACTGCACCCCCCCAATTTGCATGAATGTTTCTCTTCACCCTGCTCAACTCTTTTTGCACCACTGAGCCAGGCGAGCATTGTGTCTGTACTCTCTCTTTGAAAGCAAAGAAGAGAATGTAAGGGAATGAGGTTTCTTCACAGACTGACTCCCAATGTGGGATACCATGCAGAACTAACTGGGGAGAGAAAACATGACCATGTAGACTAAACACCATGTGGACTCAAGTGAGGTTAGGCCTGGACCTTGCCTTGTTTATGTGTGCTCTTATTAGCTCTGATTAAGGATGAACATGATTTGAAATCCTGGAGTGCCTTGATCCAATTTTGTACTAACTACTGACTAAAAACGATCTCACTACCACAGTCAGGGAACAAAATATGAGCAAACTAAACTTCAATCAACTCAGTCCAGACAGGGGAAGGCCATGCTGGCCATGAGAGATACCAATGTCCAGGTGGCCTTAGAAGACATTCCTTCTGGCAAGCGCAGCCAACTGAAGCAAGGCTTCCCTATAAATCCTGGATACAGAGATTGTTTCTGCTTTTGTTTGCCAAAGAACTCAAAAGGGGCCCTGAGATGCAGCGCGCATAGCTAATGAAACCCACAGCAAGGAAAGAAGAAAGCCTCAGCTAAACAACTTCAAGACGATTGGGGAACTGAGAAAGACCAAAGGCAGAACAGAGAAGCATTTCCTTTCTCCTAATTCAAAATGCACAGCGCCCAACAGATGCCTCACACTGCTGTAAAACAAACCAGCAAAAAGACTGACACAGACTCTTGAGCATGGACAAATGCAAAACTACAAGATTCAGTCTATAAGGTCTTTACATCCATCATCTGAGGTGAAGAAAAAGACTAATTTATCTTTCCTTTTTCCATTTCACTTGTCTTTCATCACGTGCCATTTCTAGGCAATGAAGAAGAACAAAATCGTCTAGCCCAGCAGGTGTTGGCCATCTTCAGGAAAACATGCCGTCCATGTGCTGTGTGAGGGTATTAAAACACAGGCCTGACTTACAATAACACACTCACACTGAGGTAGAAAGGCCTTTCACTTCACACACAGAGGGACGCTCAGATTTTCACAGTGTACAATCAGCATTTCAACGGTCCTGCTGAGGGCTATTCTTCATTATGCAGCCACAAAATGAGACAACAACTGGCTAACATTTTACACTTGGCCTACAAAAAATGCACTGCAAAAAGTAACCTTATGGTAGTGTACGAAATTAAATGTTTCAATCGATCACGCCAAAACATAAATCTCAGCCATAGTGTGACAACTATAGTAAATCTAAAACACCAACTACTACACAGTCATGAGTGTGAGATCTCCATTGTCTATATCAATGACTGGTATATGGTCTTCCACAGGCTACTTCTAGATACCTGAAATATGCCCATATGTGGTGTTACTTGAAAACTTCTTTCACTTGCACTTAGTTTAACAGGTGCCACTACAGCTTCTAAAAGTCCCTCAACTGTTTCTTTTCTATTTACTGTTTATCCATTCTCACTGAAACTTTCAGTATGCGTGATAATTCAAAAATAATACAAGTGAAAAGCACATACAAAGCATAAGACAAATACATACGTATCTTCTGCTCCCTTCTTAGTCCCAAAAGATGTATATTGTAACTCCCTAATGTGCTGTATCTTGAGGCTGGAGGTCAGAGTAAAGCTAGTGAAGCTTTCTGTCGTAACCTCAACAAGTTCTGACAAGTGTATCCTCTGACATGGCCACCTCTGCTCTCAAGAGACAGCTTGCTGACTAACAAAAAGGAGAAGAGTTGTTCAGTGTTAAACACAGAATCATCTGGCCATGACCACCACCCAGGAAACACATTTTACACCAGGGCTGCAACTAACGATCAATTTCATCATCGATTAATCTGACAATTAGTTTATCGATACATTGTCTGAGAGGCTGAAAACAGCATTCGACTAATCGGTTATTCTACTAAACGCTGCAGCTATATTTTACATAAACCTGCTAATTGAAGCACTGTGGCTGAATTCTGAAAGCAGACATTCATTTAACACTAATCATCCAGGTTTGACTGGAGCCATTACTTGGCAGAGGAGTAGTGAAGCTGAATGCTTTTAGTCAAGTGATGAGCTAAATACATTCGGAAGCACTAATACTTTACTTGAGCATTTCCATTTGGTGAGAATGAATACTTTAACAGTGAATTTGATAAGCCCCAGGAAGGTCCCGTTCCTCACAGTGATTAATGGAACACGTTTAAAGCTGTATTACTCAATTGTGGTTGGTGTTGGTCCGCCTCTTACTATCAATAACCCACATCCAATTTTCCCAGTTTACTGGATCAACATGCTGTTAGATACAGTATCAAGCCACGAGACAGCAGCATCGGCCTTCATTCCTCTCTTGACACTTTAACTTCACATAATTATCAGCCCGGCGGTGCTGACTACTTCCTGACAGTGCAGTAAGCAGCACTTTCTGTAGTTTTAAAAGTGTGAAACTTTGCTGGGATCATCGTCCACTATTGGTCACAGAGCTGAGCTGGTTCTGCAACTTGCAAGTCACTTCTCCGCAGTTTATCCTTGGCTTGAACACTGCCACTGCTGAGCAGTTTAATTCCTCTGTTTAGGCTACACATCATGCTCTCGCCTATCAAAAACATTCTGGTTTACAGGCAGTAAGTTAACCAGAGGACCGACGCATTACACACAGAAGTCTGTTATTCCTTTTATGGCTCGCTGCTGTTGTGAGCTCAAATGGAGATCTAGCATCAAATGCAACAGTGTCTTTCTTCCACAAATTTGGACGAACTCGACGTGCTAACAGCAGCGATATGTACTAGATGAACTCGACATTAGCAAACAGAGAAAAACATCTCATCTTCCATTAAATTATAAAGTGTTTCCAGGCGATAGCTGGAGTCCTTAGCCAGCCAATTAACTAAGTAGTTTTCCATCACTAAACATTCAGTGACAGCACTGACAAACAGCAATAAAAGCTAATATTGCGACTAACCAAACTCAAAAGTTCAGTACTGACACCGTCCATTTTCTAAATGTAATGTCAGACCATTAAGACTGATAATTCGCAGTCGTTTTATGACTTAGTGTCCATTCCAGTAAATAGACAGAGCCCGAAAAAACAAGGACATCCTTTACCTTGAAGCGTTTTCGACCAGCCGCAGCAAACGTCGTCTGCTTCCCATGCACTTAAGTATAGTCCTACTATTATAAGAAAAAGCCTGCTTTTCTGACACTTTACCCGAATACATTAGCTATTTTGTCAGACTTAGCATAGCTAGGTTTCCACTTGAAAGCTAGCCAGTGTTAAGTTAGCTAGCTCCCATTGACTCCTCGGTCCAGCCCATGCAACCGTATAATACGTGTACACAAATGTCTGCGGAGCTCAGACAGACGGCGGCGGCCTACCAAATGTTTACATCGCACGGAGCATGCGCCCTCAGCTCAAACATGAGTCAACACTGCCACCTCGTGTTCGTGATCTGAAACTACACGTCAGACACATTTCACTGCTCCTTTCATTCATTCAGAAAGAGGAAACACAGCATTTCCAAATAAACATTAGAAAATGGGTGTGATGGGTGTGATGGGTGTGATGGGTGGAAGGAGAAGTAGATTATCCTTATCTTAAAGTATCACACTGATATTGGCTATGTGGCACACTCTATACAGGGTTTCTGCAGGTTTCAACTGGTTAAATGTAAAACGCTTTTTTTTATTATGAATGCAATTTTAGACCTATTGCAGGTCTCTAATAGCAAAGAAGAAAGAGGGATATGAAGAATTGGTTTTGTTTGTAGTAGTTACAGCACAATCAATACATTTCCCCCCAAAACACATTAAAAAGCGAGACTGAAAAGTGCAACTTTATAAAGCAACATTAAAATATTAATACAGTAATTTGTAAGACCTGTCAAAATCATATTAAAGACATTTTAAGACTTGAAATTAATATTATTGGATTTTATACTTTTTAAGACCCCGCAGTCTATATATAGTATATAACCCAATGCCTTGTGATGAAAGTTAGCAGTCTAATGTGAGTCAAGTAAGTCATCCTGGTTGGACCGTAACAGCATCACTGCCAGCAACTGTATTTGCTTTGCAAACACATGAAAAACCTACTGATTTGCCCTAACAAGAGCACTTTCCATCCTTGGAGGGGACTGCTTGGTATATGTCACTGAGGTTATCAAGGGGGCTTGTCAGTATGTCCCATTACTGATATTCGTTTCAGTTATGACCACAGCGCCTCCTGAAGGCTAAAGCTCCCAAAAGTTCTTAGCAATGATCAGAATAATATTAACCTACACTGTGATTAAAGTGACCTCTTATTCTGCTATCTTTTGTTTCACACACACAGACCAGTGAATGGATGGTTCATAGATTGGATGACATCTGTCAAATTGATAAGTGTATTTATTCAATAGGAATGCAGGTATAGAAACTGTTACAACAGCCTTACCTATTTAGACATTTTACACTTTTTACACTCCATTTTAGTTCATTTCAAATTCTTAATCACCTCAATCCATTATGTTTATTCTATTAAAAGTTGGCAGTGATCTCAGAACAATGGGTACATGGTATAATGTAATGTGGTCAGGAAACAGGAGGGGAAAAAAGGGATCATCTCAGCCAAGCTAAAGTCACTCACACTTTCACCATGTTTACTATGATAGAATCACCTCACGTTGAGATTTTATTCACCTTTTTTTAGAGACATTAACAAGTCAAGTAACAGACTACTTGCAGTATACCTTGCTGTGTTTCTGCCCAGCACTATATGAGTGCTTCCAGTCTCAAGCTTTCTGTAGCTCTATCTAATCAGTATCTGATCCTAAATAACTTACCTGAAGTTCATTGTTGAGAGAAAAAATGTTTGAGCAGACTTGAGGTTCAAACTGTTGTCTCCGTGCTTCTCAGTTGAGGCATGTTGTCTTCATAGTAGAAAATACAATTAATCCAATTAATTTATGAAAATGTCCTCCCTGTGTGGTTAGTCCTCGCAAAATGAAACTGTAAACCTAAATAAATATATAACAAAAAATGAGGTTAAGTTATGTATAATGACCTAGAAACTGACTAGAAGCAGCACTGCTTTGTCTAATAGGTTCACACGCCTGTCTCTCATTGAGCGAGAGCAGTCAATAGAAACCCACGGTGAAGTAACCACATCATAGCAAAAGTGCTCCAGTGAAAATGTGACTAAACAGACAGCCTTGATTCACATACCAAACCAATCATAAAACCTACTTTTCAGGTTTAACACAGGAGCAGTGACGCATGTCTATTGTTGTTTGTCAGACACTCCTCTGCTCATAGAAGAAGCTGAAAAGCAGCTGACGTTGTAGGCCAGAATTCGCAACACAGTGGAGACTGTAGGCCACCCAATCTGATCCACTGTCACAACAATCACATCTCAGTCTGTCAGATATAAATAGCTAGCTATGAACACACAGTGAAATAGTAATTCTCAGTAATGAGGTGGTTTATGAAGACTCACTAGGGGTCCAAAAGAATAAAATAGAGTGAAAATAAATGCTGCAAAGTATTAGAATATTAGAAAGTGACAGGTTATCTTTTTACAGTAGCTGTGTGTTGGGAAGGTCAAAATCATTATGTGGCAGGCGCATCAGGTATAAAAGTGATTTCAGTTATTTAATTACTCAGTTAATTATGAGTAAACTGGTATTCTTTGCAGTCACACCCATCTGCTCCAGATACATTCTACTTATGCACCTTTTAATCCCTGCTAATTAATTGCTAAATACTCTATGATACTAGAAATTATGACATTTTATTAAATTAGAAAAAAAATAAGATACATACATACATAGTCTGTTTTTTGTTTGAATTAAGCTCTTGCAAAAATGCCCCAAAATATGGTAAGGTGGTGATACGTTTGGACAGAAGATTACAGACATGGATCTTTGACAAATTAGATTTTTGTATGATATGATATGATACACAAAACTGGATACATTTACATAAACTTGGATACCACTATATCTTTCTGGATACAGGTCCTTTTTGTCTAGGACAAGACTAATCTGGCCCCCTTTTTTCCAAAATGATATAGTAAAGAATTTTCCTCGTCTGACTAAGTCTGTATGGATACATCTCATTGATGATGTTGTTTGTTTTGTTAGTTTTTTCTCCTCTATGTCTCTTTAAACATACAGTATATTTCTCTATAATCATTGTTTTGGTCATTTTTTTGCAAAATTGATATGTATGCATGTATCTACGTAGGCTTTATATACTGTATGTACATTGGCATTGGAAGGGATAAGCTTTAGGGATGGGGAAGGGGAATATAAACTCTATTAATAAAAAAAAAACATAATTCATAATTGAAAAGCATTTCTGGGTTGGCAGGTTAATGATCATTTATTTCTGTTTTCTGAAAAATGAACCATTACTTTTCTATGTTCATCTCATCTTGAAAGGGTTGAAAAACCAAGAGGTGGTAGATTTGTGTTTTCTAAAGGAATATATTCCTTTACCTGATTTTAAAGGTCGGCTTCACCTAAATGACAAAAAAAAAAAAAACATATTTTCCCACCTATCATTATTAGTATCAATGCAGATTGTTCTGTTTTATTACCAACCTATTACTGTGAAGGTAAATAGAATTTCTTCTTCTCACAGCATTGAAATATTGAACTGAGCAGTGTGTTCTCAATCCATAGATTCAATACACAGACCTTTAGCTGTAGACAATCTATTACAAATTTTATCCTCAGAAGAAAATAAACCTGGTGAAAACTGTTTACAGTAATATCTGTGGATAATTTAACCAGGACATTGTTTCTGAAATGGGACATTATATACATATTTCAAAATGTTCTTTTTCAATGCTGTGAATGCATTCTCCTCCTTTGTGTTGCAGTAACATTAGAGGACCTAGGGGTAGATAACATCTTTACACATTGCCAGGGAATCGATCTGCCACATACAATACTGTTAGTAGGTGGAAAAATCTGTTTTTGTGAAAGCAAATATACGTTACTTTTTTGCGTAGTAGTTTGTGCCACACATTTTACCATTGCTTCTCTATTTTAATTGAACCTGTGCTGTGAGCATGCCCGGGCAATACATTCGTCAGGCAGCCACCACAACACACTTGACCTTTGTGTATGTGCAAAAAGGCGGGTGTCACTCACACAACGACAGCGTCATCATGGATAAACCTCCCAACCTCCCAACCTCCCAACCACTCATCCCAACGAAGATGGCCATACTTAGGCAAACACACGACACCGACAAACTCCACCACCAAAACAACATGTTTTTACTTGTGAGCTATGATTGCACTTTTCATGAATAATGGGGTATTTTATTTTTGGTTTTTGGTTTACGTATGACCCGTGAACAAGTGGGCACTTTTTGCAATAAACTCAGTTGAGTGGCATTTTTTGCTGGCTTGTGACTTTTTTGTATTAGCTATTTGTTATGATTTTGTATCACTTCTTATAATCAAACTAGATTTCTCCCTAGGGAAGCTTTGCTGTGGTTCAATTTATTCCAGTGCAAAGAGTAATTGGTAGCTTGCAAAGTTATTCTTAGCTTACCCAACACTGTTTAAAATCAATAACAGGGAGGGCAATTTCTGCAGAAAGTGTGGTCTGATTGCTAGGAGCTGAAAATCAGTGCGTGGAAAAGCTGCAAAAGAAGGAGCATCAAAGGCACAATGAACAGTTGGAAGAGTCACAAATTGTTTGTAAGAAAGCAAAAGAAGGAAGGGAGAGGTGAAAGAAAAAAAACACCCTAAATTAGGGTTGGGTGGTGATTACTGTGAGACTAAATTCCTTTGTCACCCTTTGCCATATTGTTGCCATGCCATGGTAACTATCCCTTTAATATCTATGTTTATATTTATTACACTTTTGGCCATTGCCAGATTTAAATCTGAATCAGACTTTTTCCTGGTTAAAAGAAAGAAGAGTGTTGTTATTTAGGTAAATGGCCGCGCCAGCTCGATAGGGGGCAGAGTGTTAAACCTCTGCAGCATGGCGTCTCTGTGGCTCATCCTGTGACACGGTATTTACTGAGCATGCGCATGGCAATCTTCCTTTTTCCAGTGCAGCGGAGTCAAGCCCCAGTCTTTGGCTCCGGGCTCCTTCATAAGGAGACAAAAAGACTGCAAAATGGTTTGTAATTCGTCCCAATATGTGCCTACATGCATACCTAAGACATACATTTTGTGCTGTGTGGTGTCAGACGTTTGAAAACATGCTGCTGATGTTCAGATGAAGTTAGATTAAGTCCTGCTAATGCTTACCCGGGTCTGCTTAAACGTGGCCTAATGGCTGCCTTCACAAACTCACTGTTTCCTTTTATCTGAAGACTACTTCACTGTGATGTTTTCATTCATGTGTGACCTGTGAGTCTCTAAGCTCACTACCCCCGAATTTCCATTTTATACAGTTTACCATTAGCTTGTTTGCTTATCAGCTACCCTGTGTAGCGGCTATGCTAACTCCAGTCCTTCATCTCCATTGGCTCAGCTAGCTAATGTTAGCCGGGTCCAACGTTACCCGGTGACAGTGACAGCCCAACTTCTGGACAGAGCAGCTCAGAAAACTAACGTGGAGTTCCCTTTTGTTATGTTGAGTGTTAATCCTCTGATGTTAAGTTGATGCATGTCCTCTTGCAGGGTTTTGTTAAAGTGGTGAAGAACAAGGCCTACTTCAAGAGATACCAGGTCAAATTCAGGAGGAGGAGAGGTGAGACACCTTGTTGTTAGTCTTCCTCCAAATGTTTAGGTTATTTGAAGTATCCGTTTTAAGTGATTCAAGTGTTTTCCTTCCAGAGGGAAAGACCGACTTCTTTGCTCGCAAGCGCCTGGTCGTACAAGATAAGAACAAGTACAACACACCCAAGTACCGGATGATTGTCCGTTTCTCTAACCGGGACATTATCTGCCAGGTGAGCATACACTGAGATGACCCTGTTTTTATCTAAAAAGATGAGGCTCGGCTTCTTTTTTTTCTTCTTTACTTGTGAACCTCTTTGAACAGACTAATTCTGTGAAAAAGTAACTGCAGATATCCATTTCTGACTTAATCGAGCATAGCCAAAACAAACATGGTCAGATCGTGAGTATTCAAATTATTGTTGCACATTTTATGGGGTGCTTCAACATGACATCAATCTGAGCTACTTTACAAAGTGTGCCAGTAGTAGAAATATTGCCTTGTGAAGTACAGGGTCAGTGGTCCAGATTTTTTGTAGTCAGGGTAATGGATGGGTTGTAAATTCATGATTACTTGTTGTGTTGCAGATCGCCTATGCCAAGATTGAGGGTGATATGATCGTGTGTGCGGCCTACTCACACGAACTGCCAAAATACGGAATCTCCGTGGGCTTGACGAACTACGCAGCAGCCTACTGCACTGGTCTGCTGCTGGCCCGCAGAGTACGTATACGCTGGGTTGTGAGCGTGTGTGTGTGTGAGAGAGAAGAGATTCAGGGTTAATGAATGGCCTTTGTTTAACCCAGGTTAACCTTTTCAGAATAAGTTCTCAGCTATAATTGTGTCATTGGGGAAACAATGTTCTGCATATGTGAATTTACATAAACAGAATAAAAGTTGTTGGCAGCTGAACCATATGATCTTCAATCTCAAATGTGGCAATTTTCTGTCCTCAGCTGCTCAACAAGTTTGGCCTGGATAAGGTGTACGAAGGCCAGGTTGAGGTGACAGGCGATGAGTTCAACGTGGAGAGCATTGATGGTCAGCCTGGTGCTTTCACCTGCTACCTGGATGCTGGACTTGCTAGAACCACCACAGGCAACAAGGTGTTCGGTGCCCTGAAGGGGGCTGTGGATGGAGGCCTGTCCATCCCACACAGGTAACCCGTCCCACTTCCTGTCACAGGTGTTGAATTTTATTGAATGCTGTGTGTGGCAATGATGGCTGCGTGGTGGGGGGGGAGGGTGTTCCAAAAGTTTTCATTTGGAAGGAATGATGCATAACACCTTGCTTGGCACAGTTCAAGTCTGTAAATGATAAATAAGTTTAGTTTTTTTATTTACAGAAAATGTCAGTTTATTTTTTTCATTGAAGATATATTGGCATGCCACAGTAGGAAACACAGCTGTTACTAATATAATTAATGATGGCAGGATTCCATTTAGGACACTTGAATAGAACAAGGCATTGTTGATGCCTGTGAAAAGTCAAAATGTCTGCTGCCTATTATGGAAGTCAGTGGTAATGCACTTTGGTTTCTAATTGACACTCAAAATCAGTTGCCTGCACACTTTAACTCGTCATTACTGAAACAGTGAGGTTTGCTGTCAGAATTGTAGTGTGACGAATGCAGGTTAGGAATGACAGATGACAGTGTTCACTCTCAGCTGGCAAGGTGTAATGTGAATGTTTTTCAAGACATGTTGAGACTGCTGTCAGAGTTCGAGCTATGATCAGTTTCAACTAATCAGCCAACTGCTTAAACACTGATTACTTTGCATGAAATGGGCCTTGAGGAAATCACGCTGTCCATTAGATTATGTACCCTTTCAGACAGACGCAGTGATGTGGTTTTAAAAAACAACACAGCAATAGTCTATTTGAAAGGGTTAATGTGCATCATCCAGCCCTCTTCTACAGTCCCCCTCCTGCCTACTGTTCAGGCAATGTCGGTCACACGCTGCCCACGCAGGCATCGCTATTAGGGTTTGAAATAACATGATACTGATAAGTCCCATCTGTAGAGGGGGAGGGAGTTACACGAATGGGTCCAACGCAGGATGAATGCTCAGGCTGAAAGTTACCTGTTGAATCAGCTTGTCCGCAAAGAGGGCTGTACATTCTGGATTCGTCAGCCCTGACATCTTGTCAAATGTGTTGCAATAAGGAGATAAAATATATATGCATTTACAGTTTACCGTGAATTGGATATCCTGTATTGCACTGATGCACTCACTTGAGCTGATGTGTACCCTAGCAGTACTAAGACATTCTAAGAGTAGATCAATTGATGATGCACAGTAAAAAATGTCAAGGCAATACTAAAAGGATACTATAAAACATGTTTGCACTCAGTAGCTAGATACCTCCTCAGGGAACTAAATGCCAGTTGTGTGGTTGCAAAAATCAATATAGTGAATTTAGTTTCCGGTAGTTAGACCGTCCCGTTTCAACGTAGCATAAAAATGCTATCTGTACCTGAATACAGTATGCATTTCAGTTGCAGTGTAGTGAATCTGCCTGGCCACATGTGGACGTAGTGTAGTTTATATTCTCAGCCAGGTTTAAATTCAGTCGGTACAGTTTGCTTGCATTCATGAGAGAATAAGTTAAAAACAGCAGCTGACAGGTTGACAGCTGACATCAAGCCTGCTTGACTTTTGCCATTTTCACACTGCGATGATCCAGTCAGTGTGGACGGAATACAAATGAGAATTTATACCCAGTGTGAATGCAAGAGCCTGGTGAGATGTTATGATACAGGTGTAAATGGGGTGCATTTTGAATTTAATAGAGCAATTTTAATGATTCATCAGTAAGATGAATTGTGCACACCATGTAATACTGTGTTCATTGTGCCTTGACATGTCTGAAGGTTCTGCATGGTGATTTTAAATGTCCGTTTGTTTCACTGAACATGCTTGAGATTTACCTTGTACCCCCCCTCCCTTTTTTTTTCCCTCTTTTTCTTGCCACCAGCACCAAGCGCTTCCCTGGGTATGATCCAGAGAGCAAGGAGTTCAACGCTGAGGTCCACCGCAAACACATCATGGGCACCAACGTGTCTGAGTACATGAGCTATCTGCTGGAGGAGGATGAAGATGCTTACAAGAAGCAGTTCTCCCGCTTCATCAAGAATGGAGTCACCCCTGATTCGGCAAGTCCTCTTTATCTGTTGTTAAATTGCCTTTCCAGTCTGCATTACACTGTATCTGGGAGGCAGATGGTGTTCCTGAGCTCTAATTGATCCAGTCAGGGACATGTATACAATGTTGGACCAGGACTCCTTTTATTTGTGATGTTTTGAGATGTGCCCTTGTGTGAACTTATATGGTCGAGGTAACAGGTTCCAACTATCAACTGTCTCATTTGTGACAAATTTCACATACGGTCAACAGTAATTCCTCATGAGTCAGAGTCAGGGTTGTGGTGCAGTGACCGCAAAGTATAAAAAGCACCAAATCAATCTGAATTTGGTCCAGTCAATACTTGTAATGATCGTCTTGTACCCTTTTTTTTTTTAAATAACCAATTAATTCAGCCATCGCCTCAGTGTAATTATGCAGTGGGTCTATTTGTCCAAGTAACTCATATTAAAGTTGCCTGGAGAACATCATAATCCCAATGACAGAATAAAGTTGAATAAGATGTTTAATTCATACACACGCAGGCCTTGCTAGCTTGAGGTGCGGTTCTGATCTGTCCCTCAACAGGATTAGAATAGCCTCTTAAAATAGCATGGCATGTCCTTAAACTAATAACTTTTCGACAAGGAAATCCACTGATCAATCATAATAATCCCTGCCTTTATTAATTACTACATAAAAGGCAGAACATTTTCCTAAACAAGGGGATTTTGTGACTTGTGCTGCACTAGCTGTGAGCACAGGAGAGGAGCAGGGTGTGTGGCAAGCTAGGTGGAAGATGCTTGGTTGAAGATATGCCCTTAATGGCCCACCAGTGGGCAAGAAACATCTCAGAATGCTTGTTAAATGTATCCTGAAATATGGACTATGGATGCGGCGTAAAGCTAATGCAGTTTTGAAGTAGCATTACAAATGTCTCGTGAAAGTTAAAGTGAATCTTTTGAATTTATCTACAAAAAAATCTTTAAACAGTATTTATCATGCATGTGAGTGAAGAATAAATTGTGCCCACAAATGAGATGTGAAGTAAATTTGACTGGTTGCCTTTCTTTCAGATTGAGGAAATGTACAAAAAGGCTCATGCTACCATTCGTGAGAACCCTGTCCATGAAAAGAAGCCTCCCAAAGAGGTCAAGAAGAAGAGGTGAGACACGTAGACATCTTAAAAATATATTTTTGAACTAGTCTTTACACAGCAGCTCTGCTACGAGTATTCCAAAAACTGCAAATGCTAATTGTGCTCGTTTGTGACCTAGGTGGAACCGTGCCAAGCTCTCTCTGGCCCAGAGGAAAGACCGTGTCGCCCAGAAGAAGGCCAGCTTCCTCCGGGCTCAGGAACAGGAGGCTTCAGACTGAGGCGTCGGTCTGCTCTGTTCCAGATACAGAATTTGTTCGTAATAAATCTATCGAAAAAGAGTCAATCCACTGGTGTACTTTGTCATATTGCACTTCATGTATGCTTTATTGGCAGCACAGAGGCCTCTTGATCCCTTTTTTTAAATTTGGGGATTTTTACTTGTATATTGTAGTTTTAATGCATCCTAACCACTCAGTGGCACTGTGGTTTATAGGCTGATTTGCATTTCAGACACAAGTTGTCTTTTTGAGTGGGTTTTGTCTAAATGGCAGCGGTTCAAGTAAAGGTGAATCAAAGTCACAAAGTACTAGACAAGTCAAATTTATTGATTTGTCATGGTTTCGAAAAATTGCACTTGCTCACTTTGCAGCAGTATATTAAAGTTTACTTATCACATGATTTAATATGAAAGTAACATTCCTTGACAACTGCTTCAGGATAAAATACATCAGTTATACATGTACAGGTGAATACAAGGGGAATTGTATACTAGTTTCCACAGTGAAAACAGACAGTCTGATATTATTTAAAAACTTTATGGGACAGGAATTGGTCTTTGTGCCTCTGTGTATTCATTAGGAGTCTTTAGTATGAGAGATTTTCTTCCATAGCAAAGTCTTGAGATTATTCAGAATTAGTGAGTGCTCAATTTCCATCTGTTCTGCTGACCCTTTCAGTGCGATGCAAGCGTACAGCTGCTTCTCAAGCTCCTCTCTCACATCAGATGGAGCACCTCTCAGAATATAGTCCTTGAGTGCTTCACAGGCTTTGGCTAAGTTTGGCCTGGTGACCTCGGGTGTGCAGCGGTGCTTCGTGAGGTCACAGGAAGTGAGGCAGTCTGCCCCGTAGAGACAATCCTCGTCCACATCGCAGCGCTGCTGCCTAATGCCTTCTTGGAAGACTGCTTCAGGAACAATGTACCGCGCATCCATCACCTTCAGGTCATGGCGATCGTTGTAGCCGAAACTGGTGGCGCTCACGTCACACATGAGGAAGCTGCCGAAAGTGCCGTGGAAAACATCCTCCACCAGTTCCAGCAGTCCAATTGAGATCTTGGCCTTGTGTGGCCAGGAGGGCGTGAACCACTGGTCCATGCTTCGACGCAGACCGGCAGGAATCCACACCTCTATGATCCAGGGTAGGCTGATCCCGTACAGCGGAGAATATGGCACCTTCTCCATCACATACAGGTCTCCACAGAAGCCCAGTAACTTGGGCGTGTGCTCTCTGTCTTGCAGAACTAAAGCTAAGAGGAATTCATTGAGCTGCAGCAGAGCCCACGTGGAGCGAGCCTCAGGCAGTGAGATGTGACCATCCTTATTGGCATCTGTTATGGATAATACCTGGGTTGCCAGGTCTGCGAGGTTGGCCTGATCCCCCACTTTAGCCTGTAAAGAATGAAAAAGAGTTTAAGACAAACTCTGTGTTGAATTCTAGTCTATCCAGTGTTTAATGAGTGCTTCCTGACCTTTAGGTGGTTGAGGATCATCTCTCTGAACTTCTCCACAGAGGTCCCCTTGGTGGGCTTGTTGAAAGCCGCAGCCTCCTTCCTTGGCTCCATCTCACTTCCCAAATCATAATGAGGCGCCTCTTCCATCTGGCACTTAATGACTCCCTCCAGGTCGCCCCAGCTCCCTGAGTACACCTAAAATAAACAAGCTAGGCCTGAGGTGCAGCTGGATTAATGACAAGCAGACTGAGAGGAGTGTGTGATTTTAAAGAAGACTGACCTGGCTGTTGGGCTTGGCAGTGAAACACTTCCCCAGATAAAGCGTGTCTTTCTCACACAGGCTGCTGCAGGCAGAGCCGTCAATGATTCCTTTTCTGTATTTGTCACACTGAAAAACACAAATAGCAGTACTGTAAACTCGCAAAAAGGAAACAGGAATAGCAACTCAATATTATCTGGAGTAGAGAATATAGGACAAGGTCTGGATGAGTTGATGTATATGAGAAATAAAATACTCACTATTGAATTTTTGCAGTCGTGCCCACGACACAGCTCTGTGTAGGAAGAGTACTCTACGTACACTATCCAGCTGCCCACGAACACTGCCAGCCAGGAGAAGAACAGGTACTTCATACGTAGGTAGGAAAATCTGGCCTGTTGGAAACATTTCAATTCTTTTTTAGAAGGAATAAAAGCTTGAAAATGACATAAACCCTGCGTTAAAGATTCAATAATATACAGGTCCAGTGGTATAAGTGTTCTAAATAGGAAAACTTTCCCAATACTCCATAAATTATTTGTAATGCACTCTGTTATCTGTGGAGGTTTCAGTGCATTAAAAATGGCCTGGGTGACTTGAGGATGGAGTTGTTTTTAATCATAACGGAAATTAATGAGAGAACGAGAGCCATGTTTTTGCCTACGGCTGGTATATCAGTTCCTTTTTTCTTTCTTTATTAAAAGTTTTCCAGCAAAGCAGTGACCTTTGCATTGACCTGAATATTCTTACAGGCAATGTTAGGTCTGGGGACTTGCACAATACAGGACTGAATAAAGTATCAAATTTGATGTCCCACAATCACCACACTAGCACTGATATTGTCGGATTTCCAACGTTTAAAGTTGCTAGGGCGAAAGTTGCCTATTTACACATCCAGTAGACACTGGGCAAAACATTAGCATTCTTGTCACACAATAAATGTAAGTCTAATATTGATTCTCCGTATTTCATTTAGTTTCCATTTAGTCTGCCACCAACCAGCTACCCCACTATGTTCACCCCTAGTCACTAACTTTGTCTGTTTGCTCTCAATTGCTGTGCATGTTGATTTTATCAGAGCTTTCTTGCCAAAAACAGCTGCCTGCTATGTCCAAAAACAAAAGAGAGTGATCTACAACAGTAAAGTGATGGGCTGTAAAACCAAAACAATGCAGAAAGACACTAAAACGCTGAGGGGGAACTGCGGAGCCGGGGGATAATTCTCGGTCAGACATTAGACACACTTATTTGATCCACTGTTAATATCAAAATACTAATTAATGCAGCTTTAAAGGCCAAGCTGAACGAGAAAAGTATCAAAACAGACTAGAAAACGCCAACATTCAGCTCTGTTCTGACGTAGCTGTTACAGATATCAACACAGTGAATTCTCCAAAGGTAAACTGCTGATATCACAATGAAAACGTGATAAATGAGACAATGCTAAACTTTTTAATTTACTTAATAAACAGTCTTATCTAAACTTAGTTCACTTGGAAAGACTAACAACTCTGGCCAACATCTTTGGACCATTATTAATGATACTGACTATATTATTTCCCCAGTATGTGGTCTTTCAACCTTACAACTAATATAAAACATTTTTAATTTAATTTTTTAATAATTATAATATAGATAGCTTTAAGTCAATATAATAATCTTAATTTATGTTTACAATAAAGTCATTTGGCTATGAGTATGTAAGTGGAATACAAATTAGCTCCAAACTGAGCTGTATCGCAGACTACATCATTAAGGCAATTGCTTCTAAATAGGTGCTCAGTAATTAACAGTAAATGCTGTTTGTGGCCTGGCACGGCAACAGTGGGACATTTAGAGTGACTCCAGACTCATTACCTTGTCTTGATTTTCTTTCCAAATCCCCAGCTGACAAATACAGTCTGCTTGCATCCATAATGGCATTCCTCCAATTGGAGAACATTAGAGAAAAATAGCAGACTTTTTAGCAGTCCCATTTTCCCATCTATGAATGATTTTTGCACTCAGGGCTTGACAGTGATAGACTCCCCCTGCTTCTACCCTCTGCCCCTTTCAGTTCCAATTTTCTTTATTGGCATAAGTCTCTATATCCCCCCCCCCTTCTTCTTTATCCTCTCTGTAACAAACTGCGCTCCATCTTCCTCTGGGATCTTTGTGACCCAACTTTACAGTTTAACAGAAAATATCTCGGTGGTCAGTTTGCTCTTTTACTATACACTCAACCTAATAAATGAAAGCAAACTTAGAAGCACAGGATGTGAGGTTTATTTTCAATGTTGAAGAAAAAGATTACATTTGTATCTGTCACTAAATGGATCTTCCATCCATTTTCTGCTTTTGAAACCACAGATAATGCAGAAATCAAGCTTTCAGGCATCCTCTATATGTGACTCTGCAATCTAATTTCGGTCCATGCAGTGGGTTTTAATATCATTTTAGTCTATATTATCTTATTGCTTTGATGAAAAAGCCTGTGAGTATATTTCTTTGCCATTGCTACCAGGCCCAGGACACAGAGATCAGTTTACATCTGCTGTTACACAGGATTGTATTCAAAAAAGATATTCTAATCTTTCTAAGACTAAATATCTTCAAACCTGCATTCGCACACTCTAAATAAAACACTGACACATAGCTAGGCTCCTCTATGGGAAGCTGCAAATTGCAACCAACTGAACATCGCTTGTGTTAGTATTTGACGACCTGGGAATGAAAACGAAAAGATGTGTGTAGGACAAACGAAAAAAAAAATAAATAGTGCAAAAGACACTATCTAGAGCCAGTGTTTGGTTTGTCCGTTCTGGGCTACAGTAGAAATATGGCAGTTCAACATGCTAGCCTCCATAGAAGAGGACCCGCTCCCTCTGCAGATAAAAACAGCTCATTCTAAGGAAACAAAAACACAACGATTCTTATTTTCAGGTGATTATACACTAATGGAAACATACCTATGAATATTATATTCCATTTCTGCCAATAGATTCTCCTAAATGTTACACACTGGACCTTAAGGTTAGCTAATATTAGCTAAATGCTAGCTAACTAGCTAGCTAATCTACATCTAGGTTAGCTGGCTAGTTGGCTAACGTTTTGCTAACATTAGTTAACTTAGGAAGGGACTATATACAGTTGAAACCAGAAGTTTACATACACTGTATAAAAAGACACATACGCTTTTTTTTTCTCACTGACATGAAATCAGACAATCACTTTTCCTGTTTTAGGTCCGTTAGGATTACCAAAATTATTTCTATTTACTAAATGCCAGAATAATGAGAGAAGGATTTTTTTAAGACAATTTTTTATTACTTTCTTCAAAGTCAGAAGTTTACATACACTAAGATTACTATGCCTTTAAACAATTTGGGAAAGCCCAGATGATGATGTCATGTCTTTGGAAGCTTCTGATAACATTTGAGTTAATCAGCGACACACCTGTGGATGTATTTTAAGGCACAACTGAAACACACTGCTTCTTTGTGTAACATCATGGGAAAGTCAAAAGAAATGAGCCAAGATATCAGGAAGAGAATTGTGGACTTGCACAAGTCTGGTTCATCCTTGGGTGCAATTTCCAGATGCCTCAAGGTGCCACGTTCATCTGTTTAAACAATTATACGCAAGTATAAACACCATGGGAATGTCCAGCCATCTTACCGCTCAGGAAGGAGACGGGCTCTGTGTCCCAGAGTTGAACGTGCTTTGGTCCGAAATGTGCATATCAACCCAAGAACAAAAGCAAAAGACCTTGTGAAGATGCTGGCTGAAGCTGGTAAGAGTGTGTCTTTATCCACAGTGAAACGAGTACTGTACCGACATGGGCTGAAAGGCCACTCTGCCAGGAAGAAGCCATTACTTCAAAAGAAACATAAAAAAGCCAGATTACAGTTTGCAAATGCACACAGGGACAAAGACCTTAATTTTTGGAGACATGTCCTGTGGTCTGACGAAACTAAAATCGAACTGTTGGGCCATAATGACCATCGTTACGTTTGGAGGAAAAGGGGGGAAGCTTGCAAGCCTGAGAACACCATCCCAACTGTGAAATACGGGGGTGGCAGCATCATGTTGTGGGGTTGTTTTGCTGCAGGAGGGACTGGTGCACTTCACAAAATAGATGGCATCATGAGGAAAGAACATTATGTGGAAATACTGAAGCAACATCTCAAGACATCAGCCAGGAAGTTAAAGCTTGGGTGCGAATGGGTCTTCCAAATGGACAGTGACCTGAAGCATACTGCCAAACTGGTTACAAAGTGGCTTAAGGACAACAAAGTCAATGTTTTGGAATGGCCATCACAAAGCCCTGATCTCAGTCCAAGGCATGTGCGAGCAAGGCGGCCTACAAACTTTGCTCAGTTACACCAGTTCTGTCAGGAGGAATGGGCCAAAATTCCTGCTAACTATTGTGAGAAGCTTGTGGAAGGATATCCAAAATGTTTGACCCAAGTCATTAATTTTAAAGGCAATGGTACCAAATACTAATGAAATGTAAAACTTCTGACTTTCAAGAAAGCAATAAAAACATTGTCTAAAAAATTCTCATTATTCTGGCATTTAGCAAATAGAAATAATTTTGGTAATCCTAATTGACCTAAAACAGGAAAAGTTTAATCTAATTTAACGTCAGAGAGAAAAAAGAGATTGTGTCTTTTTATACAGTGTATGTAAACGTCTGGTTTCAACTATGTTTTTATTTTTCAACCATCTTCAAAATTTGGTCCTTTTCAACATAGATGAGCCCAGCACATAAGACCTGCTCAACTGTTATTGGAGCATAGAGCAGAAAGGGTTTGAGTTGCACTGGTGCCATTTATTTCTAAATGATTACCACTCACATCTTTGATTCCCATCTGCTAACACCTCGTTTGTCTTTTCTGGATTCCCATCTTAATTGCAAGTCTATAAAAATCTATATATTATATAGCCTATATTATGTAGGCCTACATACAAACCATCTTACTACACAAACACCTCACAGAAATAGAAAATTATCAATTATCAATGACAAGCCATTCACTTAAATATGATTTCTGTTGCTTTGTTTATTGATTGGTTTACTTACAAATCTGACCATGCAGACCCACAGCAAATTTAACAGCAGTGACCACACAAGTAAGTGATGCGCGTACCTCCCATTGATTTTTCCGTAGGTAAAATGCATCAACAGCAAAAGCATTATGGATATAACAATCTACCGGGGAAACAAATGTATCGTCGGCCGTTTTCCAATCGATAGTTTTGTGGCTTTCATTTCAGCTCTGGCCGGTGCATTTCTGTCTCTGGGATTATGTATTGACCCCTTTGTGAAGGGAGAGAGTTGCACAAACATGGCTAATGAGGCGATATTGATTGTGGCTACTGTGACAGCTATTAATTAGAGACTGACTGGGAACTGTGGCTGTATGCTGAGGTGGGCGGAAAGAAACGGTCTGTCTTGATCCGGTTGAACTCCTTCCTCTACACCCACCCACTGCCCTAAATGTTAGGGAGCCTGTGTGTTTAGACCATTTTAACCTTGAAAGGTCTCTGAAATGACACACAAAGAATCAAGTGCATATTGTACGGTAACAAAGTGCTACCTGATGTTGAGCTAGTGAAGCAGAGAGGGGATTAAAGCTGATCAAGAGCAGCACAATGCTGTTCTGACACTTGGTTTTTGCAGCCTGCACATTCATCCATTATGCATGATTATAAAGCTATCCCTCAGCGGTTGCCGGTTAATGGGCTGCTGTGCAGAGAAAGACATGAAAACAGAGAAACAAAAGATGGAGAGGGCTGAGGGGAGTGAATGACATAGAGATATTTATGCAGATTTTGCCTGATATCACTGGCAAACAGATAATACAGTATGTGCATGAAGAGTGATCCACTTAACATGTTGAGGAAAAGAACCACCCTGGAGAGTTTACGCGCCAGTAGCAGTAGCAGTCCAGCATGCGTCTCCACTTGTCTGCAGGAAAAAGGATGCCACACTGTCTGCACAGACACTACAAAGATCTGACTCATCACAGTCCAGACAGCAGGCAACCCCCCACCACACACACACACACACACACACATACAAAGCACACATTCCATGCTGACTCAATCCTGCGACATTAACACATGTGAACATTACTTTATCAGCAACTGTCCTGTCTGTCATGATGCTGTAAATGGAACAATCTAACATCAAGAGCATTCACACACAAACAATGCACAAGTAGCGCAAGCACGTGTTATTCCTGCAAGGATGGCAGTTTCCTGTCAGGGGAAACCCCCTCCCATATCTGAAAAAACAAGTTAGAGCTGTAATGTGCAAAAAATCCTTTTATGGGGCTGGTGAAGACTGATCTCCAACATAAATTTGGTGTTACTCAACATCAACTCAGCTAATAGGTAATACATATAATAATAAATCATTAAATGAAATGCAGACAGAATTATTAGCAGTGATATATAACTTTACTTTATTGCTGTCTGTGATGTGGAATGCATGCCAGAGGTTTTGTTGCATTAATATGTGGAAGCAGTTGTGATAGGGCCAACTAAATGTCAACAGTTGGCAGTTTGTGCAACTTATTTATGATCAGGAATTAAAGATGCTGTTCCATCGTCTAGAGAGAAGCTTGTCGTTATCTCAACTTCTGAATCAGAGACAATTTTCACCATTTAGGTAGCCCTCACTCTCATGAAGGTGGGAGACCCCTGCTCTATATGACCTACATAAACAAACAAGACCATGAGCAAGACCACTGGCTATTTCTACTGTTATTCTTAATGCCTTCCACCAGGCTGGACGTGGTCAGATCATATGAAGAGGTGGTGGAAACACTACACCTTTTGTCCACAGGGGCTGCCAGAATCCACACAAAATGAAAGTTCCCTGTTGCTGCTTTAAATATAGGTTATTAAAAAGTAATGTAAAATACAAAAAATGACAACATTGAGACTTTTAAAAAAAAGATTTTAACATGCCTCGGTCATTGTTGAAATTGCGGCCAAAAAGTTATTTCAGAACGAGCAATGGGGTTTAATGAAGATGAGTCTCTATATATGTCACCATACAGTATCTGCTTTACTGATGGACACTGAAGTTATCAATTGCCACTACATGCTTTTACACACTTGACCTTTAAACTGTGTGTTTAAAGCATCTCTGCAGTTTATGGCATAAGAGACATAAGGATCTTTTGACCACCTGTTAAGGGAAAATTAGCATGTGCAGGAAAATTGCACTCAATCAAACGTCTTTGTATTTTATGCAATATCTGTACTTGAAATATAAAGACATGCAGAATCTGCATATGAACCAGACCAATATTTCCGGCTTACAGGACTTGTCAGTTTTTATACTTCAGTGGAAATAGCTTCTCTCCAAGGATCACTGAATGACACTTCTTAAGTTGTCACTGGAAGGCTGAAGTGGCCTAGAAAACTGAGCGATGCTGGTGGCTGTCCCTTGAGACTGCCTGTTTCTCTCACTGCACTTGACAGTTTTTGTCTCTGACATGCAAGGGCACGGGCAGGAGGATCGCAGCAGCTGCTGAGACGACACTGTTTGAAAATTAGTAAAGCAAATGGCCGAATGTCTCCAAGATGGATACAATTAGCAAAATATTGAGTTGGGATAGTCTGATGTAGGGAGGGAGGCATTATCTTTTCACCATTCAGTCAGCCAGGGAACGTGTTCAACAAGAGTTTCTATTAACATCTAACTCTCTGGATCATGTGAGACCTCCACATGTCCTTGAGGGGACTTCCCTTGCAGAGTTTCATTTTACTTATGAGCAATGCCACTGTGGACTTCACCTAATTTCACTCACATCAAACTGTTACATAATGTTCTGCGACACTTTCTCAGATGAGAATAACCAGGGCAGCATCATATCAAATACTGATCTGTGATTTAATGACATGAATGGCAGTGATTCATCTTAGTGAATGATGGTAAAGCACAAAACACACAAGCATGTCTTATCCTGAGATTACTTGCATGTAGCAATATATATATATATATATATATATATATATATATATATATATATATATATAGCCTATAGCAACAACATGTGACAGAAGAAACAAAGATGGAGACAGTAAATGTATAATGTAATGTAAGCTGGTAATAAAGTTTTACAGCCTCAGAAACAGCCTCTTTTGAATGTATGACTGTACCAGCTGTATCATGGACGTGGTTGCTACAGCAACGGGGATCAGGAGGATGGTTGATTCTTGTCGAGCCGTCGAGCATCAAGTGACTTTATGATTCATTCTGAAAACCCTACACAGCAACACCTGCGAATGACCACCAACCCATATACAACACGAAGGTCAAATGATAAAGTAGTATAAGCAATAATAATAATAATCAGTCGCATCGCCGCTTATATCTACCGGTAAGATCCGAGTGTAGGCTGTGAGGATGTACACAGACAGAGCCGGGGTAGATTCCCAGTTGGACTTTACACCGGAGTGAAGAGGGATTTCCAAGAAGCTTACCTGAATGTACAGAGGCTTCCTGAAGAGCCCCCATGGAAACAGATATCTTGCCATGGAAAATGCAGAACATCTCACAAAAGCTGCTGAGGGTAGAATTTCGGCGTCCACTTCATACGGTTATCAGGCAACGCCTACCACACTAAGCTTGGACATGTTCCAAAATGTAAAAGCTCACTAATTCCGTCGGCAGCACCGTGGATGTGCGTCTGGATGCAGCGAGGCGGCAGACTGAGCCGCGCCGCCGTCTGCAGCGAAGTGAGCCTCATATTGGGCCATGCTCTCCACTGAGGCGTTCTGACCAATTAGAGGAGGAGGATGGGTGGCATATCAGTTTGTCACCTTTTGATGTTCATATAAAAAACCCAGCTTACCTGCTGACTGTATGCTTTTTAAAAATCTCTCGTCTTAAAGTGCAACAAAGATTTCACATATGAAGTTAACAAATGTAAAACAATCATTAGTATGGCATTAATTATCACATGTTAGTTAGTTAGGTTATATCAGGTTACACCTAAACACATTTTCCACTTAAGGAAGTGTAAAACGTGTTTAGGTGTAACCTGATGTAGTTGCTGCACTAACTACATGTAATGTGAACTTCCTCTCTGAGTGTTTTAAGATGTTTCAGCTTGTTTTGGTTTCATGGTCCACAACTTTACTGTTTTAGTCCAGTCTCAAAGCTCCTATCAGCAGGCAGCTGTTAAACCCATTGTGCACTACCTGCCCAGCACCAGACAAAATTAGCAACTAGTCTGTGATTTATATATTGTGTTATTTATTTATTTAGCAGCTAAAGAGCCAGATATTTCACTCAGGAGTTGATGGAAACCAAAACAGATCTAAAAGAAGAGTGAATGATGGTCTCCAAATGAATGCTAATGTTAATCCCTGTCTGCTGGATGTTTCACAGGCAATTACTGTTCATCATAACAACTTTGATAAGATAGTGTCTTACATAAAGTTATCAGTGTGAAATGAAATGGCTGATACAGAATATCCTATGTGATGTTATTAATCTTAAGTTTATCTAAAATAAAGATAAAACTGTAATTTAACATGATGTACAGCTGTAGGGGAGCTTTTTTCTAGTGAGTTAGACCTATAGCTTACAAAAGCTAAAGGGAGCTTTAACCTTTTGTCCTGCTACATACATACATACATACATACATACATACATACATACAACAGATGGTCTATACACATGTTACATCAATAAGAACCTGGAGGAAAACTGGCTTTAAGAGATCTGTAATGCCTCACACAAAAACAGAATATCACAGTCTGTCTCATTGGGAGATGAGACAGATCTCTTGAGGCGCTCTTTAGGGACATGTCTCTCACAGCTCAGAGGTGTGTCAGCAGAGGAGGTGGATAGAAAATAAGAAGTCGTCAGCTCTAAAGTGGGATCATGAATCACCTCATACTGGTTTTACTTTATATTTTAGTATTTTTATTATATTTATATATTATTCGTTATATTTTATTTGGTGTAGCCTATATCCGTATTCAAAGCATGGATTTTCTTCTGTCACATCTTAAAAGTAGGAGAGCAAAGGAACAGAACATCCTCTTCTTTATGTGCTCAGATGACACGGATTTGCATATTAATATGACAGATGAAAAGCACAAATACCCATCATTACTTGGTCCATAATTTTGGACTAAAGCTACCTGAAGTTTGTAGGATTTCTAAAGGCTTCTATACTTAACTCCTCTGTGGGATGTGAGACTTCTTGCTGGCATCTTATAAATGAAGATGTACAAGACAGTAAAACTTTATCTCAAGGGGATGCACCAAACAAAGGTAATGGGCACTCAGTTATACAGTACATTACCATGTGCATTATCATCCATCAAAACAGACAGTCTAATTTTCTGTGATTGTATTTCTTTAAAAAGTATTGCCAAGTGTGAAAACACAAACACAATTTGTCTTTACAGTTTGAAACGACTGATGTAATTAGACAAGAATAAAGAATTCATGCAGCACAACAAAGCTGTGATAGCTGCATCGCTAAATTCTTACACAACATTAGGAAAGACAGAAACAAAGCTGGCATCGATGCCTGGAATATTGGATTTTGCTGTGAGAGGAGCTTAGAGTTTGGAGAGGAGTTATAGGAGCCTAGAGGGAAGAAAATGGATACAGATAAGGTATTTCCTGCGATTATGCAATGCTGATTACCTTGAGGCACTTTGAGTGGGTAGATAAAAAAATCTATTTTCATATAAGAACAAACAAACAACAACCTTGCTAATGCAGAAACCAAGGAGTGGCACCACTGGTGAGCATAGAGAATTACTGAGATGGATTAGGGGTTTTCCAATATAGTCCTCATTGGGTGCCTGATTAAGACAAGTTTAGATAATTATATGCGCAGTGTGTAATATAATGACGACCGTCTCCAAAAACATAACCTTTAAGATTAATTAACACTGGAAAACATCTGCATCTGAGATTTCAAATTTCCATGCATAAATTCAGTTTACCTTTCATTACCAACAATAATCCCTGTTTAGTCTTGCAGCCCATATCTGCTCATTACCTTGTCGCTCCATTAACATCCATAAAAACCCAATAAGTTGCCTTGGTAACAAATGACAGGACGTGTCTGTCACACAGCCCACCAGAATAATTCCAACAATCCTCATTTGGAACAATTTGTACCTACTGCAATTATCATTAACAGAGACTATGAGGACTATCCTGAGGCAGGTGTTTGTGACCGTTTGAGCGAAGTGGAGGCTAAACCTGAAAAAGACTCTCAAAAGAGGAATATTGCTTTATTAAAGCTGCGTTATTGAGAGATAGCTGCCAGACTCATAGAAAATATCTGTTGTTAGCCTTCCCCCTCATGGTGACACTCCTGTATTACAATTTTTCCAGCCGTATCCAGTTTTCTTCTGAGTACAAAAGATATTAATATTCAGAATGTGTAGGAGTGGGCTCACTCTGAAAAATGTCAAGAGCTGGAAGGATGCAAGAGACATCACACCAAGAAGTTTTTTTCTGCGGTGGCAAAACCCTTCAGTGATTCTTGTCTATTTAGCTGGATCAGAGTTTTTCAGATTGAGAGAGACTTCTAACTGCAAGAGTGGAGGGAAGAGGTCCTGTGTGGAGCAACGTAAGATTACAGGCCTCTAAAGTAGTCGGGTGATATTCTATATTTTTGTTACTGTCCCGAATCCTCTTGAAAGACCAACAATGAATATATCCTACTAACAATTATTATGCATGTCCATATATCTTATTCCTCACACACACATCACACACTTCTTTAACTCCAACATGAAACAGGTGTTGCTATCAAAGACATGGAGAACAACAGACAGGTTTTAATAACATCTGTCTCTTGGAAATGTGGAAAAGAACAAGCCAGGATCCCATTGAGAAGATAGAGGGGTTGTGTTGAACACAGACTCAGAAAACCTGCGACAAACAAGTCATGAAACGGAACCCCCAAGGAAACAGGATTAGGCGTCGCCCCAGCTGGAGAAGAGGTGTTCAGGTAGAATTGTCCAGGAGTGGCTCAACTGCAGGGATCTCAAAAGAACTGCCAACAGTAGAGGACATTTGTCAATGGCCTATGCTCCCTGCATAGAGGAGAGGACTTGAAATCCTGCTCTACCACTAGCTAGGGTGCCTCACACTGTAGTTTATTTTTCTGCAAACCCACATACACCATCCCGCTGCCCCAAATACTTACTAGAGTACCAAATGTTGGTTGAAAATAGTCCCAAAGAAATGTGCAGTTTCCTCCAGTTTGATTGATAAAAACTACAGTAGCTGTTTATCTATTTTATGTTTTTTGTCTTTTTTAGAAATGAAAGTAGAAAGCCACATAGCGAATGGGGAGGTCAAAGTGTTGCAAGATAGACTAACATGTTGTTGGTTTTTGTCTTTTGGTGGGATGTGTTGACAAGCCTTATCTTTTAAATGGGTTGACTGATAATAGAATACTTCTTGTGAACCATCCATTTCTGATACCATCAGACAGTCACATTGTGTAAGAGCACTGGTTAAATGCAGTTAGGACCATGAAATCCTGATCTTACATTCTGTGAATTATATGGGGAAAGCATGCTCTTCTTTTAAGCTGACACAATGGTCACCTGTACACATGGCACAGTTGCATATAAATCTCAATTATTCCAATTAAACCCCCATCCACTGCTCAGTAACATCTCTCAGTCTAACATCCTGTTTGTACCAAAGGTTTACTCAGCATGCAGTATGTATGTAGATTTGACAATTCAAAAGTTGAGAGTTCCCTCAAAATATTTAATGCACCACATATGGAACGACACATTGTTTTTATGGAACAGCATTGCTGGAAATATGCCATTCTCACTTAAATTTACATAACAGATGGTGTGCTTCGCTTTGAGTGTGTTTTATGTAAATGTGATGACTAATGTTTTCACGATGAGCCTGGAGAGTGAGACAGCGAAATATTATTTAGAGTGACCCTTTTATGTCCCCCTCTCGTTCCTCTAATGTGATGGAGCTGCAACTTGTGACAAATTGAACTGTTGAGAGCAGATTTAGGCAGCTAAGTAAGGAAGGATTAGGTAAACACTAATAATTCATTCTGTCAGCAACTCCTGACCTAAATTCCAGTTGTATAGTCTTAGTAGTCACTAAGACAAAACAATTGAATTTTTTTCTTTGCATTTTTATTTCCTTTGGGCAATAATATATATATATTTTTTTTCATAAATTATGTAATGGAATAATAATTTATTAAAATATAGAACAATGAATGTTAACGAGTTTATCTATTAAAAAAAAATACATTTATTATCTAAAACCACTATCTTTATCACTAAAGGAACTCAAGCATGATTTTAGACAGTGAAAAAAAATCATTATTATATTGTATTTTGGAGCCATTTTAATTAAATTAGCTAGCTTCATTACTTTTACAATAAAGTGACAACCCATTTGGTTATATATATTATGTATAGCATGTTTTTAGAAAATGATTTGCCCCTATTAAAGTTTATTCTTTTATTCTTTTTAGTAAGACCTCTGAACCTATAATATGTTGGGGGGGAAATCTTACTTTTGACACTTCCTGTAAGGAGGCAAACTAAAATGGGAAGACTGCTTAAAGAAACAGCGGCATCTAGTGGGTCCCTTTAGCATAACAGCCTGAGTTGTAGAGATCGGTCAGTCAGGTTGATTTAAGTACAATAAGATAATAGTGACTCAAAATGTGCTCTACCAAACAGTTGAGTAGAACATTAAAGGATTAACCTCAGCAAAAAATCTGAGATGAATCTTTAATAACTTCTGGTAATCTGGTTTTAGTCTTCGCCTAGTGGTCAAATGGATATACTGCAGGCAGAGGTGTGAAACAGAAGCCTGAAGCTGGGGCTCCAGAATGCCAGGAAGACTTCAGGACACACCATAACACAACAGGACACACCTTTCAGTAGCCACAGGGTCATGCTTGTGGACAGTGAGCTGCTAGGACAGGGTCAGATGTGATCAACAATGCTGTGTGCTTTTTTTTTTTGGTTTTGTCATGTGCATGTACGGGGATTTTCTAGAACACAATCGCTTCATTGTAGATAAGTGTATCAAATGTCTAACACAGCAGCCTTTTATGGGTTGCTCCTCAAACTGGATCACCCCAAGGGAAGAGGTGTTTTTTTTTCCTGAAATAGAGCTCATATCATTTAATAAATGTTTGTTTTTTCTTCTTTTCAGTTTTAAGATGGCATGTCTTTCTTGTTCAAATGATTACAAATGTGACTGTGGCTAAGCAACATAGCCTATAATGTAATATTTTATCATTTTGAAATTGAGCTAAGTTGCAACAGAGGTTCAGTGGGTGTGTGTGAAGTCTCAATATCAGATTAGTAATTGAAGGTTATCATTTTTCTTGTGATGGCTTACTCAGTAAATATACTGTTGATGCTAAGCCTGTCTGATCCTGATTCTCCTCACATACATTATATAATCCACAGCTTCATAAGGTTTGGGATTAGTTTTTTTTTTTTTATATAAAAGTGATTTTTGTTTGTGTGTGCATGTGGCCAGCCTGGAGGAAGGGAACAGAGTGCTAGTCACGCTGTAGGAATGAGAAAAGAAGCCACAGAAAGCCCAGGAGGTGAGTGACCTTCACCCAGGGACATGTGGCAAAGTAATAATAGCACAGGAAGTTGGGAACTTAGAGCATGGCCTTCAATGTGAATCTCTCATTACACTACATTATAATTTATCACGGCTCAGCCTATGTTTATGTCTAATCACTGCAATCAGGAGCTGCTGATTAGCTCTACTTGATACCAGAGAGATGTGCATACGACAGAGGGGGAGCTGAAGAAAGAGGAGACAGTAGATGGGTGCCACAGTTTTCATCAGTCAAGGTGCAGCAGGATGTGATGGCGCTCTGTTAATAAATCTTGACACCTTACAGGCAGTACACAGCTACATCGCCAGTGACACTCCCTCTGCTGCTCCTCTCCTCCCACTGCAGTGCACACATGGCCAGTCACCAAAACACCAAACAGGCTGAGGCCAGAAAGAAAACCTCAGTGTGCCTCAGGAAAATACCACTTTGCAATGGGCCCGCATGGAAAATGTGATGTAACTGTGAATAAAACCACAGCCAACATTCAAAACACAGTGCTGTAAACTCATTGAGTAATTAATAAAATTGCGGTGCCGTATAAATGATAAGTCATTAATAAAGGGAGCTTGCACATCAATAATTTAGAAAGTGCTTGTTATTGTCGCATTACATATGCAGACTACAGTTCACATGCAGCTTTAGAGGATTAGTGTGTAGGATTTAGTGGCTCCCTCGCTTCACCTTCCCCTTCAAAGCATGAGGGGAAACTACATGAAAAGTTTGAACACCCCTAGAGCATCTAGAGCCAGTGTTTGGTTTATCCCTCCTGGGCTACCGTATGGCTGACCCCACGGAAGGCGACCCTGCGGTGTATGAAGATAAAAACGTCTCATTTTGAGGTAACAAAAACAGAAAAAATCCTATATTTAGGTGATTATACACATGAAGACATAGTTATAGATCTTATAATCAATTTCTGCCAAAAGATCCTCCTAAATGTTGGACTTTTAAAGGTCTGGGAAGCCACTAAATCCTACACACTGGTCCTTTAATGTCTGAATTAGGAATGTGGATGATGTGGGTACTGGCTGGAGTCATTTGCTCTCTCTTTAATTCACCAGCAATCATTAATACTCTTTTGCTACCTAAATCATGCACTGTCTACACACTCATGCTACTATTTTGCTGGTCAGTGGGATGAGATAAAACTACACTGTGTTGAGTTTAATACGTGTATACCTGACCATGAGACAAGATATTATTTACTCTAGCAAACATTTTGTGGAACATTAAGAAACATTGAGAGCATTGAGCACAAACGAGGTTATGACTTGAATTTTTTGGGAAATACAGTTATTATACAACACCACAACAGAAAAAAAAAATGTCATCATCCTCATTTCTTATCTTATGCACAGTGAAATATAATTAGCTGAACAGACCATAATATAAATAACATAATATTACTAGTTAGTTTAGATGAATGTGACTTTATTTGGGGTTTCTAGACCATATATTAATTTAGTTCAATGAATGAATAATACCTAAATACATTCATTGTCAACAGGTAAATTCTACCACACCTGCCTGACCTCTTCTGACCTCCAGCTCTGCTCCTCAGTGAACACCTCGCCTATTTCAGATCCTTTTAATTCCACTTATGTAAATATTCTAGATAATATTGCTCTGGTTTGGTTTGAAAAGCCTAAAGTGCACCCAAGCCCTAGCTTAATGATGAAATCAAGAGAACTTGCTGTAAAGACGAGCACAGATGGAGGGCTACAAAACCTTTCATCTGAAGGCTGATGATGAAGGCTGAGCTTCAACACCGTCTATAGATCAGAGTGCGCTGCTTCTGCGGCTCAGTTCAATCACCTTTGTGTGTCGCGGCCGCTGTCCAAGGTGCTGATCCTGTGATAGTCTGCCAGCAAAACACATTGGGATGTTTGCATACCACATAGGAATAAAGATGCCTCACATAGAGCAGAATAGTTCTCCATTTACTTTCTAAGTAGGTCATCAACTTACTTACTGATTTACTGGTATGTACCACAGTTACACAGACAGAGTTGTTAGGACTCAGCTCTGTAGCTGCTATTGTTATTGTTTCCTGGTAGGTGCTGATCAGTAATTTTGTATATGTTTCTACCTAGTGTGTGTATATATATATATATATATATATATATATATATATATACATATATATACACGACTAAATCCACTTGATTAAGAATAATTTTTTTAACTTACAAAATTGAGTAAGTTGTACTTAGAATTTCAGTCAGTCAGTTTCAGCAATTTTTTTAGTTCCATTAACTTGTTTTACAGTGTGTTTTCAAGTTCTTCCTCAGGTGTGACTCAAGACAGCTGTTTCATTTATTTTCCTCCAGAGGGACAAGTTGGCTAACTCCTTCTCTTCCTGAGAACTTTGTCACCGTGAGTAAGTGTAAAAATTGCCCACGATGCTCGAGGGCTTTGTGAAGCCGGTCTTATGACTGGCCAATTGTAATGGTGCATACTGAGAGCTGGCTGTTTTCAGATGACTTCCAGACATGTGCCGAGTTTATGGCCTATAAAAAGCCAAACATCACCAGCAGTGTACTTCATTTGCAAACAAACCAGCGTTTCATGTGCTACAGAGGCAGAAAAAAAAGTCTATGTTCCAGAGTGGAGCATTATTTGGTGTTGAAATCAGATTTAGAGGCATCATCCTTGTGTCTTATGCTCACTGAGGTCGCTGAATTTTGTGCAGCAGGTCGTCAAGCATTGTTAAATTGCAGGTCGTGCTGTTTAGATTTCTAACGCTCGACATGAGCGACAAGTTTCACGGTGAGCTGACTCAGAGGGAGCAGGAGTTGCTGAAAATGCGGAGAGACAGTGACACTAAGGCCGCCGAACTTGCCAAGATGGAGAAGATGCTGCAGCAGACCAAGAACCTGTTGGACAAGAAGAAAGAGTCTAGTTCAGACAGCATGGGCTACCAGGAGAACATGGGTCTGTATCACAAAACATTCTAACTTCATATTAGAATTTCTCCTGTGTGCCCTCTTGTTGGTGGCTGTAGTGTGACTGTGTCTTCTGGTTGCTCCTTGCAGTGGAGGACCTGGAGGAAAAGGTGCGCTCCAGCAGACGGTACAGGAGGAACTCCCTCCATCACACACAGATGCTGGAGAGCCAGATGAAGACTGTGAAAGGTGAGCTGGTGGGCACGCTGGACCACCTTCAGGAGCTGAGGAACGTCTTGCGCCGTTCCCAGCAGAAAGCCGAAGAGCGCAAAGCCACGATGGAGAAGCTGGCGGCGGGGCTCAGGTGAAGCATCTGTCTGCGGCTGCTTTCGATTCGGATCAAGGTTTTGACCTTCCTGATGTCTTACATCCTGCCAACGAAGATGTCTAGAGTTTACATTTAACAAGACCACACCCATAAGCTGGTTAAATGGAAGAAGAAAGAGACTTTGAGCTACTGTGCTGGTCCTCACTCTGTTGTTTGGCATCCAAAGACTAAATTTAAAAGACGATCCATGGTATTTCACAACCTGCCAAAAAATATTTTTTCCCTCTATTCCCCATTTTTTTTGTCCTGCTCTTATTAATCTCATATTTTGAAGGCTTGAACATGCTTCTCTGTGTCTTCTGGCAACAATCTGAAGATGATTATATAAATGCTGCTGCTTATACAAGTGGGAAAGCCACAGAACAGTTTTGAAACTATATTAAATCACACATACAGTGTTCCATATTTCTGCAATGTTCTTTTACCTTTTCAGTTCTGAAATATGGAGATTGCACTTGTATGAGATCTCAGCGGCAATAATGAACATTATTCATCCCCTAAAAATATATCCTGAGCAGCCCTCATAAAGGTTTTTTTTTCTGGTTTGCGTATGCTCATCCATTTATGCGTGAAAATATGATTGATGACATTCTTCATCTGCACCCCTGGGAATCACCTCCATGTCATTGCTTCATGAACCCAGTTTGAATGAATTCAACCCTGCCAATAATAACATGTAAGTTGTGTTTTCTAATGGGAATCTGTAAGTTAATCAAGTAATTAGTTAATTGTGATGTTATTAAATTCTTACAAACAATGTAATCTTGTGCTGTATGAATTGTTTTTTGCACAGTAATAGCAACATTTGTTAATTTTATTTTTGTATCTTTGTAGGACTGGTGAACAGGAAAAACACAGTTGCACCAATTTTGTCTTTTAAATGAAGCGCACATATAAATCATTCTAAAATGTGAACATTAAATTGTGTATTACAGACCACAGGCTGAAGCGTTTTTTGCAGAGAGAAAATGCAGATGCATGCCCTTTTTTTCTCTTTTTTGCAATGTTTTTTCACCCAGATGACAGAAAAGTGTCTTTTAGTGTTTGGACTCCCTCTGGGATCAATAGCCTGTTGTGTGTTTCCTGCGGTGAGTCATCTGAAAGCTGTATTTGTGCCTTCCCTGTGGCTGAGATGTGATCACACCTAATTTAGCACAGCTTGATTCACACCATGTCACATGCTGCGAGGCTGACCCTGACCTAGACATTAGATGGTAATTATAACACCATTACAGTTATATAGACTCTTCATTATGTGCAGCTGCTCTGGCTTTTCCGGTCCCTGGATTTCAACAAGGTTGTCTGCTTTCTTATCAAGTCCACAACACTTTCATACTTATGTTATGGACATTATATATTATATGTGTCTTTGGGTTGAAATGATGCTCATGTGTCTATATAATAGCTGAATCTGATTTGTGATCATTTGGGGAAGAAACTAATGATACTGAAGAACAACAACAAATGCACGAATATGGACATGATGAAAGATTGCATAGCTTCACTCCAAGAATTTAACAACAAATAAATTAAAGCAGTATAGGAAAAACAACTGTAATAGCAGCAACATTTAAAAACAAATTTACACATTTTAAATTCATAGAGGTAGTAAGACTATTGTGAAAATTAGAAGTGTTTGTGGCAGCAGTCTCTGGGGATAGGGTCTCACAATTCTGTTCTGTGGTTGGGCAGGGAGGGGCATGTATTCACCTTCACACAGTGTTGGTGACAGATTCATAAACATCCTAATTGTTTATTTCTTCTTAAAATAAGGATTCTGTTTAGCTTTTCATCAAATATAGTCCAGCTGTTTCTGAGACACACGTAGATGATCAGAACAAATGAGCCTGCAGGGGGCAGTGGAGACTTCAGAGAGCTGTCTGGCAATGAAACAAGCAACATGTTCTTACCCTCCTCCTTCATACGACCACATGTTAGGCAACAATTGATATTATTGCACCTTTAAATATGAAACCATTCCGACCGGAACAGCCTTCATCTGCAACATTTATGACTGAGAATGGATAAAAAAACCTATTCATCTATTCACTTTTTACCCATTTATTCCTTTCCCGAGTCAAAAGCAGGGAGAAAACCTCATGCAGTACTATACAGACAAGTTATTCTGATCATAGTTATGCAGCTTTACCAAGGAACCACCACTAATCCAAAGGGACCAAAACAATATACAGTAATTGGATTTACTATTTTTATTGTATATGAGTGTATCCAGCAGACACGTCATAGGTTTATGAAGTTGTCACGCCCACTGATGAACAGCATGCATTTGGCTTTGGATTGTGCTCAGTCAATACTCACAAAATTTGGCAAGCCATTACAGGGTTCCTCATTGCCATCATTGTTATCTGCTCTCACCCATCATGTTTCTACATGCAGTTGTAGAGAGATTGATAGAGCACATTTGAAAGGAAGAACTAAGTAAATTTGTATTCACATTCTTGCAGAGAGTTAGACATAAACATGGATACTACTGAAGCAAGATCCGGGAGATGTTAGGTTAGCTTAGCATACAGCTTTGAAAGAGGGGGGAAACAGCTAGAATGGCTGTCCAAACTAAAGGAACAAAACTTGAGGGGGCCTTGTTGTCACTGCATAAACTGTATAATTAAAAATGAACATAGTCTCCATGATGTCACCCAGAGGTTTCTGGAGAGCCCTTGTAGAGCTCAGTGTGTAGGCTCTGGCCGTCGCCGTCTTGCCAGTTCTGACTACACCAACTCCCAGCTCATCCAAAAATGGGCAAATATGTGGAACGTGGGTGGAGCTGAGGCTTAATGAAGCCTGGTTACTGAAAACAACTAAACCCACCTGTCACTCAAAGAGGGAATGTCCATAATTATACATACATTTAAATGTGTGAGTTATATAAAAATTCACCCCTGTTTATTTCTACTGTAAAGCCAGCCTCAAGTGGCCATTTGAGGAACTGCAGTTTTTGTTACTTGTCTCAGTGTTGGCTTCATTTGCCAGCCACATAGGTTACATTTGATTTTTGTATGGATTAAACAAACCAGATATAACATGTTAATCAGTGAAAATTAAAGGTGCTTGTAACAGGATTGTTTTGCTTTTGGACAGAGTCAAGATAGCTGTTTCCTTGAGTTTCCAGTCTCTGACTGCTAGTTATAGCATCATATTTTCCATACAAACATGAAAGTGGTATTCATTTTGTCATTAACTCTCAGCAAGAAAGCAAATAAGAGTATTTCCCAAAATGTAGAACTATTCCTTTAATGTCTGTCAATTCTACATATGGTATATTTTCTCAGCTGTAAGTTAACCTCTTTATTTTTTTGTGTTTAAGATTAAATAAGTTGTTCAAAACTTACAGGGATTTATCACTCTGATTTCCCTGTGTTTAAGGGGTTTATAATTAAATACCCAAGTCTCTCTTGGATTAAATAATGGCTGCAATCCTACTTCAATTGCAATACATGTACATTAAAGGGACAGGGGAGGGGAAACAGGTTAGTCTGCCTGCCAACAATACAATTCTCTGTTCAAGTCTAATAATGTCTGGAAGCCATTTGCACGGATGCCCTGAGGTACTGTGGCACCACCTAAATTTAAACCACAAACATTGTGAACTGAGTGACATCGTTTTCACACTGCACAACTTTTCAACTGCCATTTTATTCTGTTATGTGTTTCCATGTGCTGCATAATAAACCTACTGTATAAGATTGTGCAAGCGCTGGTGACAGCAGATTTAATTAATGGTTTGGAATTGTTTGTGTGAGCTGGTGCTAAGTTTACTGTACATGCATAGAGAAAAACATATTGTCTACCAGAGCTATGACAGATGTCCTTGTTATGACAGTTTTGCAACATTCACTGAAACCAAAAAGCCAAGAAAGAGGCATCATAACAATGAATGTGGTGATCACAGCCTTGTTATCACTGGATTTTTGAAATACTGAAAGACTTACTTGTTCTGTTCTGTGTCTGAGACATCTGCTGATTCCTCAGTATATTAGAGGTGAAAGGAATTTTCTTCAGAACACACTGTCAGCAGGTTTTACGCACAATTTCTTCTGTAGAACGTAACTGAAAACTATTCACAGTGAGGTCTAACCTGAGTAGCAGGGATGTTGTTTTTGGAAACCACTGCATTGTTGAGGCATGTAAGAACCTAGCTAAATAAAATCCAAACTATCTACATTGCCAGATACCACAAAAAGTTTGTGGGTTACAATTATCAAATGTCAGTGCCCCTTTAAGAGGAGTAAGAAGTGACTGTCAGAGTTTGCATCCGACCTGCAGCAATTAACATTTGCCTTTTGTTTAACCCTTTCCAATAACCATAAAGTTTTAGTTGCCAAATCTAAAGCCCCCCTCCACTCTTTCTTCTTTTTCCTGCAGTGTGACATGTGTGCAGAGTTTGACACTAGAAGGGTGTTTTCACAACCATCTGCTGAAAGTGGAAAGTTTCTCTGTGCTCATTAAAAATCAGATTTTAAGGGGCAGGGCCTACCAGCAGGATGTGTGGCATCACAAATAGTTTGGAAGTCAATCCAGTATGCAACTTGTACTGTGTGATGTAGAAACTTGAAGCCACCGGTGCACATCCACTGAGAATGGACTTTACAGTGAAGTAGGAGACTTCTGGTGTCCAGCAGAAAAACTTTAGAAATCAACAACATTTGCATATTTATAGATTCAGGATTTTTTTTTTTTTTTTTTTTTTTGTGAGGTAGAAAGAGTAGATATCTTTTTAAGCATTTTAAGCGGAAATTATATTTTTTTTGCAGAAAAAAAACATTACTGTTCCAAGCAGACTGTTTATGTCTACACACATGTCTGGAGGGGATCTTTAAGCAGCCAGATGGTTTATGTACATAACACGATTGTAATCGTAATTTATTTGCCATAATTTTAATTTAATTTAATTTCTAATTTTACCTTTATTTAAAGGTTTGTTGTTGTAAATCATTGTGAGAAAACATTGATACCTAATTGGTATCCAGTATTGATGTTCTTCTCTGACCATAAGATTCACTGACCCCCAGTGTTACACTTCATACCAGTGGTGGACTCTATTTGGTACCGGTAAACCCATCCCCTCAGTTTAATGCAGGCTTTCTGTTAAAACTTTGTAGGCCCAAATCGAGATGACATCACCATTACGGTGTCAGGGGTAATTTTCAGACTTGCTCTTGTTTCTCCAGAACTACAGATGACACACAGATCACAGAGTACTTGCCATGACTGTAAACGGAACTTTGTGTAGAAGTAGTGGAGTGCATTGATGGTTGGGTTCATAGTAGTCCATGAGCCAGGGCCCCAAATTTGGGCCATCGGTATCATCTGGGGGGACAAAGTCTCATAGTGATTTTTGGCAAGGCATACACCCCTAGTACTAGAAAAATCACGATAGCAGTGCAGGGGTGGTAGCGAAATCACTTTTTTCAGCTCATGAAGTTACTAACCCCCTAAGATAAATTCCGTTTTTGAAATCTGGTGTATATCTGGTTTAGGCTCATGGTAGGGATATTGTCAATATTCTATAATATGGTGCTTGGTATCGTTGGAAAGGGGACCTTTTAGGCTTTCATGTAAGCCCAGTACTGAATCTGTCTGACAAACACAGAGGTCACATGACTTCTTTAAACCAGAAATAACACACATTTTCTCACAATTTCCACCTAAACTGTATGCTTGCTTTTATCCCTGGGGCATGAAGGAACATCAGGGACACAAAACTCAACAACTTCAATGCTCAAGGCACTCTGATGATTCAG